TTCTACCTCATCATCATTCACCTCATCACCATCGTCATCATCACCATTTCATATCATCTCTGTCATCATCATAAGTTTTAAATCACTAAAATGAATTTCATTCCTTAAAAGCTGGCTATTAATTTTCTTATTTTAACCTTTTTTCATTAATCAGATAACAGAAATTTGTGGATATAATATAAAATATTTGATATGAATTAAGAGCCATTCCAGTGTAAGCTTTGTAAACTCTCATAATTTAAGTTTGTAGGTTTATATTTAACCTGGCCACCTTGCACTGTGGCAACCTTTGTTCTACAGTCAATGGTAAACACTATATGCAAAGTGGAGTAAATGTGAGCAAAGGAATTGTATGAATGTAGGATTTTAAGTATGTTTCAAAAATATAAAAAGTCAAAGATAAGTAGGATAGACTCAATATGACCTCTAAATACTTTAACTCCACAGGCTTATACCAAGATATTCGCCTCTGAACTTCATTCTAATGCTTCAAACTGCAAGAACTTTGAGATTTTGAAAATTATTCCTTTAAACCCAGGTAGAAATGGCAATGAATTCTTTACCTCATTTTGTTTTATGTACTATATGTATTCATTTGAACTTCCCGTTGTTGCTCAGAGGCAATGTAAATTGAATAATGTTTCCACTTGGGATTTAGTTATCTGATTTTTCAATTTATTTGTCACTCAAGAAAGGCAAGGAATATTTGACGGTTTTCAGTACTTAAAAAACAAAAAATATAGACATCATTCAAATATATTTTATTTTTAATTCTTATATCTTAAGTATGAACTTATAATATTGTCCATAGACTTCTGAGGAAAATAGCAGTCAGACAGATGTCTAAATCTGCTATCCTTCCTTCATCACATCAAGAAATAACAGTTGAAATGAAATAATATAAATAAATAAATAATAAAAATAAGTACCCTTTGCTCTGAGTGCTTGGATAGTTTTGCACTTCACGTGCCACAAATTCAGGCAGGTTCTTATAAATCCACTAAGGCTGTGACACTTTGATGGAAGATACTGAAGACTAATTTACAGCTCCTATTTCTGAAGATATCCTAAAGGAGCCCACCAATACCACCCTAATGCATTGTTCTGTGGAATCAAAACAATCAGATAAGAACAACTCCACTCACAATCTTTTAACTACTATGAGTTAGAAGTATTATGAAATAGTTGTACTCAAGAAACAAACATAACAAAACAAAAAATAAGATCTATAGGTAACTTCATGGACCAGAGCTCTAGGATCAAGGCCAGACAATGTATGGTGTAACTTGAAGATCAGGAGAACAAAACAGACAAACAGATTGGAGGACGTAGTGAGGGATTCATAACCTGTGATATACTAAATATGACTCATACACACTAAACCAGTGAATTGTAGGGTTTGTGAATTACATCTCAATAAAGCTATTTTTAAAAATGGTTTGTAGCATGGCAGCTTTACCACATCTAGTGAAGGAAACAAGTAATGAGATTTACCCTCTAGAAGTTGCCACAACTCTGGCTTTCCTAGTCCTCCCAAAATGTTGCTAGAATGTAAGACTGCATCACCTGCATTTTCATCTTAGGTCAGAGGTAAGGATTATAAAAGAAATCAAGTGAATTTAAGTTAAGACAAGAATTCTTTCACTAATGGGGGTTTCACAGGCTAGTAGGGACTTACTACTGTTTTTTCCAGGGATATGGAGTATATGAAAATTTTTTGCAATACAGAGAAACAAAACATACATCTAATATAAAAAAGTAATCCTCTTTCTTTGAAAAAATATTGGCTTAAGGCATAGAAGAAGCATAGAAAATCCTATTTTGTGGTCTCGATAGAAGAAAACCTTAACTCTCCCCAGAAGAATATGAAAATGAGATAACAAAATAGGCAAACATAAATAACTGTAAAGCAAAAAATGTGATTGAAATGTAATATCTAGGTGAATATTAAATGGTAATAGAAACAGTAAATACAGCACTATTAGTGCATCAAACAAGCAATAACTGTGTAAAGAAAGACTAGGGTGTGTTCTGTATTAATACAGTGAAACCAAAAATGGGATGTAGTAATGAAGAGAGAAAACTCAATTCTATCTTATGGGTAATTGGTGATCCTGAAAAAGGCCAGAGTAAATGTAAAGGTAATTATCAAAAATACAGTAGACAGTTTAACAGCTCTTTTAGAATTGTCTACAGGTTTTCCAGCCCTCACTGGAAACACCCCTACCCAAAGAAAATACAGTAGAAAAAAATCTAGATTTATTAACTGGAGAAAGACTACAAACGAAAGGACCCATTCATACTAGATAAAAAATAACTAAAAGATACATTTAAACATATTGAAACTTTTATAATTTAAAATATTAAGAATAAAAGTATTATAAAATCCTAGAACAAAAAATCAGAGAAGCCAATTTAATGGAAAAGTCATCCTTAGACCTCTTGGTACTATTAAACTGAAAGGCAGTGGAGTTTCAGAACTTGCAGGGAGTGTTGGCAGGGAGGTTGAGAAACAGAATGCTATACCTGCCTGTATTCATATGTGAAGTCAACAGAAAGATTCCTCAGCCATGCACAAATCCTGAAACTGTAATGTGTCTTTCCCAAATATCTGCTGAAAAAAGTATGAAAATATAGTGTTAAATAATGGCAAGATTTCATTTCAAAAGTCATTGCAGTGAGCTCTGAAATCATTTCAACAGAGAATGGATTACAAATTACTTCTGTTAGTGGGTTGCAAAACAGGATGCGAATATTATAATCAGAATTATAACAAGGACATCTGCAGGTCATTCTTGAACTAGTGACAATATTTTGTTTATGTTTTAGAAAACTTTAAAATAATTGCCAACTTTATAAAACTTCTGGTCATTTTATCTAAATTAATTGGATGAATTGTCAGCATATTCACCTGTGCTGCTGAACGGAACCACCTGCTGTAGATGAGAAACAGCTGACCTTTCAAATCACACACATTCATTCAAATCCCCTCAACTCCCTATTTGTATGAATTTATGCTTCCTGTCAAGCCTTTATAAGGATTTGAATGTTACCCTTCCTAGAAATCATGAAAGACAATATATAATGTAAAAAAAAATAATAATTCAACAAGCATAACTAGGACAAAAGTCCTAAATTACATTAAAAACAGAAATGGAAATACGAAAAAGTGAGAAAGTAAATATGGTTTTTTTCTTATCTTAAATGGTGGGACTACAGTAGATATAGCCTTATTTTTGATGTAGAGGTTTGCGTGTGATTCAAAATAGGAACTTAAACTTGATAAAATTTTTCAAAAGATGTAGTTTTTCTAAAATAGTAAATAAAGGAAATCATATAATAGTATTTAATTATATATTAAATAATATAATTTATATTTATAATTAATATTTTAATTTATAATTATATATTAAACAATATAATTTATACATATAAATAATATAATAATATAATATAAATATATTATATAATATATTATAATAGTATAATATATATTATATAATATATTATAATTATATAAACAATATATGTAGTGTGATATAATATAATTAAAAATAAATAATATAATATAAATAATATAATAATAAAGGATAGGAAACAGTAAACCATAAGGAAAATATAGAAATCAAATAATAAAATGGTAAAAGTATACCAGAAAGTAAAGCTAATTTTCAAAAATACATACAATTGGGTTAAATATTTTCTGTCAAGGGGGCAGAAACTTTAATATTAAATCAGATATAAAATTAAACTCCATTAGATACATAACTAAACACAATGATAAAATAAAAATAAGGAGAAGTTATACCAGAAAATTAAAATCAAGATTGCCATGTGACCAGTACATTTCTAACACTAATCTGAATGGCAGATAATAATGAAAATTATTAATAAATTTAATTCTGTAAAAATTTGATGGTGACAGTTGCCTTCAAACAAAATGTTACCACTAAAATTAAAGCTCCACAAGAAACTGGGTATACTGTGGATATATATATCTGTTTGTGTATATATATATATCCACATATGCATACACATTATATATCCTTATAATTCTAACAAAATAATATGAAATAAATTTGAGAATACAAGTATACAAAGGACCCATTACAGTTACCAAATAAGTACATAATGGAAACATACATACTTTTAAAATTTATTTATGGTGGTAACCACAGAAATTAAAGTGATCTTATATTGGCAACAATGTTTTTTTAAATGTCCCAGTTTTAGTGAAAGCTTATAGCCTGATTTACACTTCGTTCAACATCTCTTAAAAACAATTTGAACATATGTATCAACACTTAAATGTGGTTGTATATTGGACACAGAAATTCTATTATATTTCTAATATGATATTTTAAAAGACTTGCTGATAGTTAAAAAAACATAATGGTATAATCCTAAGTGGCACAAGTAGGCTATAAACACATATTTCAGTGCAATGTCAATAAAAATTGTATATTTAATCTAGATTTTCACACTTTTTTGCCACAGGAATGACTTTATTTCAATCCTATCCTATTTCACTCAAGAAATCTAATCAACTGAGGTCACTTCTCATAATAATATATGAATTAGGTGTTATTATTTTTCTCATTTTCAAAATGATAAATCTGAGGTATAGAAATGATATTAATAACTTGTTCAATATCACAGAGCTAATACATTTTCACTCATTATTAAGCTTATAACACGGCTGGATGGTATAAGAAGTTGTAACCGAGAGAGAAAAGCTGCTATTCTTTATATGGTAAAGAGAAACAAACAACTAATTTGAAATATTGTAGCTGAATTATTTCATCAGGTATTATAAATCAGCAATAATATAGAAACTTCACAGTTTTATTGATTATTTATTAGACCTAAATAAAGTAAATTAGATTATAAGACACAAAGCTGTTGATTTCAATGGAGCATGCATTGCCATGGAAGAAGTTTGCTAATGCTGGTTTACTAAGATGTTTTACTTTATCAAAAACAATTCTTTCTCTTTTCAGGTCTGCAGTCCCTTGTAGGGATCCTGATTCGTTGCTTGAAGAAACTCACTGGTGTCATTATCTTAACTCTATTTTTCCTGAGCATATTTTCTCTAATTGGGATGGGGCTCTTCATGGGCAACCTGAAGCATAAATGTCTGCGATGGCCCCAAGAAAATGAAAATGAAACTCTGCACAACAGAACCGGAAATCCATATTACATTCGGGGTAAGAATCACTTGCCATCTAAGTCAAAAAGTAAAACTTTTCTTAAAGGCAGAGCAGTCTTCCCAGAAATGTTGAACACTCAACATTTTGCTGCACTTCAACGGCTTTTTGGCTTTTGCATCAGATGCTAAGTAAAAAAAAGGCCAGGATATTTGCTCCTTTCTTCTCATCTGGAAAGAGAGATATTTATCTTTTTTGGAGATCAAAATGGACTTCAGATATGCCACTAATTCAAGAGTTGATATCATTTCTTGCCTATTTTTCAGAAACAGAAAACTTTTATTATTTGGAAGGAGAAAGATATGCTCTCCTCTGTGGCAATAGAACAGATGCTGGGTAAGTGGTGTTAATGTTTTCTTCCTTTCGGTCAGTATCACCTGTCAATACTACCAGTACTTATTGAATGATTATTGGTTTTACTGTCGGTTTCCATCTGATTACTTTAGCTCATTTTATCACCAAACCCATGCGGAGAAGTTGTTTTAGTGCATCCAGGCTGCTATAACAAAATGCCATAGGCTGGGTAGTTTAAAATCAATAGAAATTTATTTTTCACAGTCTGGGACACTAAGTCCAGGTAAAGGTGCCAGCAAATTTGGTGTCTGGTGAGGGTCTATCTTCTGACTTATAGATAGATGGTGCCTTTTTGCTGTGCACTCAATAGTTTAAGGGGCAAGGGGTTTCTCACGGGCCCCTTGTCTAAATGCACTCACCCGATTCATGAGGGCCCCACCTCTGTGACCTTATCTACCTCTCTAACCTTGAGGGTTAGAATTTCAACATACAAATGTTGAGGGTACACAGACATTCAAACCGTAGCAGAAGTATGCCATATGGATTACTATTAATCCAATTTTATAGAAAAAGCAATAGGCAGACTAGCAAAATAATTAATTCAAGGTCAAGAAGCTAGTAAATGACAGAGCCGAGACTTAAGGATCTGATCTTCTGTATTTATTGTGTCTCAGAACTAGTGAGCATTACCAACATATACAATGTGAATCTGTTCTTTGTCTAGAAGCTTTCAGAGAAATGTTAAAGATATGCTGCTATTTCACTTATTTCATGCCTTGTATACATTTTAATGCTATAATTTACATTAATAAAAAATACTTGTTCTCAAAAACAGTATGTATAAATAATTTTCCAGTGAAATGACAAACCCTCATGTCTTAGTGTCCTATAATTTCAGATGAAAATTATAATCCAGAAGGTAGAGATGGGGCCCTTGTCATCAGTGACTCATGTAATTTCCTTCTGTTGCTTTGCTCAGCCTGGATGACTGGGTGGCCATCCAGAGGCTCACCTCTTTGGTAGGCTCTGGGGCCCAGATTGACATAAGGCACATGGGGGAGAGGAGCATAAATTATATCGTTTAGTTAAATTCAAGTTATTTAGACATTTTATCACTTGCTCGCACATTTTTTGTTTTGCCCAGTTTCTGCTGGACTTCCATTCTATTCTCAAACCCAAATTGTGAACCTATCTCTTTTGTCCAATCCTGCATCAGCTCATTGTTTTTATGTACATTCCAAACTCAAGTAAGACCTGAAATGCATTTTGAAGGTACCCAGTCATAGATATTCAGAATGCCATGATATATTTCAAGTCAAAAGAGAAAGTCATGCAATGTTTCACTTGTGGCAATCATACCTTGCTGCATGGCTTAGGACAACAACGAAACTTTATTTGCTCAGACTCTCTAGGTCAGTAATTTATCAAGCCCCAGTGCACAAGTGCTTTTTAAACCTCTTCTCATTCCATTAACAAACGTCTAAAACAAGTCACATGACCAAACCCAGAATAATGTGGGAGGGAACTGCACAAGGGCATAGGGAGACGGAAGCATGATTTATTGGGCCACTACTGTAATAATTGACCACAGCACCTAAGCCCCACAGTACATAAAAGTTATGAGGATGCCCTGAAAGGAAATGAAATAAATATTTAATCTGTTCTATCTCTCCAAGTGCATAACTGCATATAATTTATTGATGTGATAAATATTTTCTCACCCTTAAATAATGGGCTCTAAAGGTTTGAGATGAGATCATTTGAAAATTAAACCTCTATTACTGCAGTTTTATTTTTATCAGTACTATTTTCCACCAGTTATACCTTCACTGTGATGTTCAGATATTTCCCCTTTGATATTGGGTAGTGAGACTATAGTGATAATACAATGCATTGCATTCTTGAAACTTTTTAAGACAGTAAGTTTTAAATATTGTCACCACAAAAAATAAGTATGTGAGATAATGCATATGTTAATTAGCTCAATTTAGCCATTCCACAGTGTATATATATTCCAAAGCATCATGTTGTACACAACAGATATACACAATTAAATTAAAATTATAAAATTTTAATTTTTAGTGAAAAAAGAAATACAAAAAAAAAGGCTTGACAAAAACCACTTGTGAGGCCTTATTTTAACTTAATTAACACTGCTCACTTATATCAACTTAAAATCAAACTGATTTGTGGCATTTTGACTGGAAATTGGGAGAAGACTACTCCCTGTGGAAGAGTGAGCCCTCTATTATTCATGGGCAGATGTTCTATTTTCATAAATTTACCATAACCTGAAAATCACCTAACAGTAAGCAGTTTTTCTTTTCTTTCTCTTCTTTAGTCAGTGTCCTGAAGGATACGTGTGTGTAAAAGCTGGCATAAATCCTGATCGTGGCTTCACAAATTTTGACCATTTTGGCTGGGCCTTATTTGCCCTATTTCGGTTAATGACCCAGGATTACCCTGAAGCACTTTATCACCAGGTAAGAACGGAGAGAATCTGCACTGCACTTAAGAATGGCACCATGCCCACCTTTCTAAAATAATGGCCAAATGCAATTTTATTTTTTTATTAAATTTTATGTGGAGAAGAGTTTGAAGACAAAAGAAAACAGAACCATAGTTACTGAATGTCAAACTATAGGCTGGCTGCTGTACTAGGTTTGTGTTTTGTGTACGATATCTTATTTAATCTCTGCAATAATTCAACATGGTCAGTGTGTGTGTGTGTGTGTGTGTGTGTGTGTATCTCTGTCTATACTTGCCTTTTATATGAAGACACTGAAATTCAGTGAGGTTGGGTAGCTGCCCAAAATTTACAACAGGTGAATCTGTGAGAGCTCAGATTATTGTCCCGCTCCAAAGCCTGTGATATTACACAGTTGATATTAACTAAGTAAAGAGCATTTCTAGGTACTAATTCTTTAGTTAAAACTCTTTGAATTTGTGACATTAACATGTATTAAACAATTGTTAACTACATATATAGAATGTTCCGATTCTCTTTATTCTTCTATTTCTTCTCATTCCATTTTACTGTTGAGTCGTGCTCCAATTATGATAACAGAAGGAAGGCTTGCTGTAATGAGACTTGAAATTTAAATTCTGAGAGTCTGTCTTTATAACTAATTATGTGTGTGCCATAGTTTCTCAGAAAGTTATAATATTCATTAAAATGGACATTCAGTTTTTATTTGAAGCGAAGTTTCATTACAGTAGAATATACAATGTTATTATCAAAGCAGTATAGTATCAAGAGATATTAGATAAAAAGATGTTAGTTATCAATTCCCAAAGTATTTAAAGTTGAGGTAGAATATTCTTTTATTAAATGTGCATAAACACAATATTTGTTTTGATTGACTTGATAAATTATAGGGCATGTATGTGTGTATACTGGTCATTAATAATGATAGGATAATGTGATGTATTTTGGGCATTGACAAAGGTTCATAATTTATTGTTAAATGGAAAACAAGTGAACAAAACATACATGTAGTACAACTCTATTATTGGTATGAATAAAAAATACATGAAAATATTACGTTATATTTTTGTACAGACCATATTTTTTCCAATTTTGTTAGATTAGTATTTATATTGTTATTTCCCAATCTTTTAAACAAGTATTAGTGTTTTCCTCCATAACACTGAGAGCTTATTTCTAAAATAATCTTTCCATGTTATCCTTCTAAAAATCCTTCAGTGATTTCCAAATTCCTGTGGGAGGAAGTTCAAAGTCCATATGCATGATACATGGTGCCCTTTAAGAGCTAGTTTCTGCATGCTTCTCCAGATTTATTTCCTAACAATATCCCAATATATACTTTTCCTTCAGTATGAAAAAGACTTGCTATTTCCTGAATGAGCTTTTCTCCTAATTCCTAATTACAATGTATGGTGTACCCTTTGCCTACATCCAGATTTCCTTCTATCGCCTTCAGTCTCATGCCTGAAATTCATACCTCAAAAGGCAGGATTTCTTCTTTGAACTTTTCCCCAAGTTTTCCATTCAGAGTAAGGCATTTTCCTGCACTGGAGTCCTGCAGTCCACTACAATTTCCTTGGATAGTGGTATTTCAGATGCTTGTCCAGCTATGTGCCCCACTAAAAGATAAACTACCAGAGGAGAAATATTTTTTTCTTATTTTGACTTTTGTGTTCTCAGCACCTAATACATAGAAATGATTAATGATTGAATAAACAAAACATACAAGTGAATATTTATGCACTATAGCACTTTATATATTAATAAAGGTCTTGCTTTCTCTTTATAGCCCTAAAAATGTGTTAGCTAATTTTCTTGTTAGCATTGGTTTAAAGGCAATCCTTTCCTCTACCATTGAAATGGGGAACCAGTCTGGGAGTGTCCTGGTGTTGGAGCACTGAGAACCTTCATTATTGTACTCTTTTTATTGACTAGTGGAGATAGAGTTTGTTTTAATTTGGCTTGAATTTATAGTCGAGCATTGCCCTAGACTGAACTAATTATGGCTAGGGAAATTTAGCCATTATTCCCAGAGAGAACAATTTTGGAGATTATTATATTCCAGTAATTCAAAAAAATATTTATTTGATTCAAATACTCTTTGATATACCATTAATACAAGTATTAATTAAGACTATTCCCATTTTTTTCATAAAATGTTCATGTACTTTTAATCAACAAGGATAAATCAGCAAACAAAATTTTGCATTTTTAATGTTCTACTTATAATTTTTTTAATCTTTAAATTTTCGGGTCTATCTTAGCTAATTATTATGAAATAAAAGCTAGTCAGTGCTCAGTTTGGAAATATAAAATTTCATATTTTTCTATACATAAATATCCACTGTAATGACTTTATATAAATGAATTATATGTCATTCTCATATAGCTTGTCAAAAGGTTCTTCACTAAAGCGGGTACTCTGATATCCATACAAATATTTCTGCTTTTCACCCCTATATAGACCTGACTTTGCACTTTGCTTTGATTTTTACATAAAGTAATGTTCAGAAGAAAGTAATCTCCAAAAATTCTCTGACTTGATTAAACTTCATATATTTAAAAATTCTACTGCAAAGACAATAACTGTATCAAGACTGTCTAGCTTCTTTATTGAGAGATGATAATTTTTCATTCAGTGTGTTTTTTCCATTTTTTTGTTTTTCTGTTATGAAATATTTTGTATATAAAACTTATAAAAATACTATAACACACTTCCATATGCTCATATTAAGAAATAAAGCATTATCTATACAGTTGAGACTCACTGGAAGTTTTTTCTCATTTTATCAGCTTCCTTCTGACCCAGGGGATATCACTAACATTAATTTGGATTTTTTCTATCTTAATATATTTCTTTACAGTTTTCTTACATATTTATATATCCCCACATGAAATGGGTAAGAAGACATAAAAAAGTCAAATATTCACTCTAATTAACTTAATTACTAAATTGTTCCCTTGGTTTTATAAACCTTGCATACGTGTCTAAAGTTGAGGAGCTTTTGTTTATTTCTTCAGGTAGAACCAGTGCTTAATCCATCCAGTGATTTTATTTCACTTATGGCTAAATAATTTTGATAACAAAGTATCATTTTTAATGTTAAAATGGGAGAATACAGCAAGATAAATAACATTTCCCTCTTGTGTCTTATATTCTACCTTAGATCCTTTATGCTTCTGGGAAGATCTACATGATATTTTTTGTGGTGGTAAGTTTTTGGTTTGCCTTTTACATGGCAAGTTTATTCTTGGGCATACTCGCTACGGCCTATGAAGAAGAAAAGCAGACAGCTGTTGAAAAAACTAAGAAGATTGAACCAAAATTTCAACAGACTATAAAAGAACTTCAAGAAGAAAATGAAGCAGCCCAGGTATAATATTTTTTAATGCTTCTTAGAATCACAGTGCTAGAGATATTTTCTCAAGGACTTGGCATATATTATTTTCTGGAAGATGGTCATATTGGTGTTACTACATGCTCAGAAGATCAAAAATGATTTCAGTAAGAGATCTCAATTTTGCTACATGACATTCCCCTCCTTAATGTCCTGTAGTGAGAGTAACTAGCATCTTTAAAGATTTCTTTAATTTATATATTTTTTGCAAAACTTGTATTGCTATAGCTGATGCACTATAGACATATTATGTTTTTAGAATTTGACTTCTCTTAATACAGGTGTAGTTTATTAATTCAAAGCTATTTCAGACAGCACATTAGAATGAACTTTGGAAAATGTCTGTGTTTAACTCAAAAGTGATACTGGCTTCCATAATTTAAAAATTATGAAGTACTAAAACAATAGACTCAAGTTTTAAAATGATAAAAAGTGTACTTTCTTGGCTGTCTAGTTCTTTCAAAAGGAAATGCACTGTGCATCATGATATGGGAATCATTATCCATGAATCATTAAATCCATGATTAGTCAAACTTAATAATGTTTGACTGTAATTTTCCATTACCTTAGTGTTTCATTTGAATATTTTTTTCATGTTTTTAGCCTCATAGCCAAAAATTTGTCCTACAAATCTGAAAGTATTGGCTGAAATAGCATTAAGGAAGTTAGGGAAAGTCATCTTTAAAAAGATTTAAACTGTGCCATAAGTGTGTTAAAAGAAAGAACAGGACTGAGGAAAGCAACCAGAAGAAGCTTTCTCATATCCTGCAGGACCTGGCTATCTCTCACCTCATCTTCAAACTACCTTTCTGGTAAATGGGATAAGGGTCTGTATTGAGGACACAAGATAGAGAGGAGCCATGCCCAGAACCCTCCCATATAAAGAGGATAAAAAGAGATGGGGAAAATAAAGGACCAATACATACTGTGTCACCAAGTGGAATGGATAGTAAGGCTGCCTAGGAAGTTTACTGATACCAAAGGGCCTAAGTCAAAAAGGGGCAAATGTTAACTCCTCTATATTTATATGTAACCTTTTCATTAAGTCATCTTTGGTGAAGAAGCTTTAGATAGCCATTGTGCCAAAAAGTGGGGCCTGAATAACATGTTGTAGCCTCATACTGAATGACCTGATGAACACTTACATGCATACCATTGAACAAGAAGCAATTATGGGCTGTGCGAACAAAACATGTATAAAAAGAGACTACTGAGTATTGCCATTATATTACTCGTGAGTAAGTCACAGAAAAACAAATTTCAACATCCTTCTCTCTCTAAGAAATGAATAGGGTCCTTCAGATTGAATGATTAGGGTCTGAATGATGTGTTGAATGTGTGATTTGTTCTGAAGTGGCATTTCAGAATCTTAAGGGCTTATGGATACACTCATATATATCCAAGAGCATAACAATATTACTCTTATCCTAAGATGAAATGCTCTACTAACTCTGCTCATGAAGAACTTGGATATTTCCCAATTTCCCAATATCTCCATTCATTTTTCTGCTCTGGATCACAGAAAACCTTTCTGGTTTTAATTAAAATTTTTCGATTATAAAGAATTACTTTTCTTGGAAGAGTCCTAGAACATTTTGTCACACAGAGTTTTCTCAGAAGTAACAGTATAAACCATTTTTACAAGATTCATTTTCTCTTTCTTTTTTTATTTACAAATTAAAAAAACAAAAACACCAGAGAGAAAAGAACTTAAACTGGAACATAATGAGGACATTTTAGATGACTGATCTGATTTAATGTCAGAATACAATTCCAACGCTGGAATTGGGAGATTACTTGATGCTTTATATTCTCATATTATAGGAAAGCAGTAGGTCATCTTGGCTAAAAGTATAGTTCTACAGCCAGATAAGTATAGATTTCAGTGCATTTTAGCCACTTAACAGATGTATGATATTTGTGAATTCTGTTAATCTTTCTAAATTTCAACTTCTTTATATGTAAAATATATATAATTATAGTAGCTGTCTTACAGGTTGTTGGGAGGCCTAAATGAAATAAATGCATGTAAAGAAGTAAGCAGTGTTTAGACTATACTAAATGACTGAAAAATGTTATAAAAATATTAATTAAAATTCTTATAATATATCAATATAATACATCATATTAAAGATAGCTTTTACCCAAACTATCATACTCAGCAGTCCACATTAAGATTGATTGATTTTTGTAGAAAAGAAATCTGTCTTTGAATATACTCACTCTTTGGAAATAAATGATCTCATAACAATACAATAATATTTATATTATGTGATATTTATTGCTTACTGTGTGCCAGATTCGATGTTAAATGCTCTACATACATTATTTATTGCTTTATCCTTGTGACAACCCTTTGAAGTATAGCAATTATCCCAATATCTTACATGAGAAATTGACAGTCTTCAAAGTAGGAAATGTAGAGCTAGCCAAAATATTTAACCAGATATTAAACTTTTTTATAGTTGTACCCTATAAAATTTAATTCACATGTGATATATATTATAAAAATCAATGGCTATTTATAGGGAACACAGGAAGGCACAACTGTCCCAATAGAGAAAAGCCTATCAACAAAAAATTCATAAGTCTTTGACTATATTTGGGAATAATTAAAATAATAATAACAGTAGAGGCAGCATATAATGTTTACTGAATATCAGCTATGCACCAGACATATAATGTGTCCTCATGCATTCTCAAGTTTAATCTTCATTGAAGAGTTCTAGCTGCAATGTTTGATCTATAATCTCTGGTTTCTTGATTTTTCAACACTGAGGAATAGAACCCATTATGCACCACTTTACTTCCTTATGTTGGAGACTCAAGGCTGAAACAATATCATTCCATCGATTACACAATTTGCTGGTGAAACTTTCCTATGAGTTGCCAGCTACTGGCAAAACCTCAGGAAGAGAATCAGCTATACAAAATTGTAGAAATACAAATTCTTAAAAATTATTTGCCACATTTAAATTAACATTCTTATAGCTCATCTAATTAATTAAAACATTACTGATAATTGTACTAAGCACTGAAGATAAATATTTTTGATAAGTACAAATACAGTGTCTATATTCATGAAGCTAGTGGTCTAATGGGGAGATAGACTATAAAATTATCATAAACCCAAAATTATATCTCTAGGACAAGAAAGTATGTGTTTCCCAGTGTTATGAAATAGGAAACCCAAAGCACTGTATACAATATATTCTTCCCAGAATCTTAGCTGAGTCTAATAAGCTTATTAATCTAATTGCTTTTTTCCAGAGACTATAGGCAAGATCGGAACACATTAAATTACCCTGAAAGGACACAAATTACCCTGAAAGAACACAATCTGCCAAGTCAAGAATGTGAAAAATTCTATAGCATAAGTGACCCAGTATTTTTAACAAATAAATTATTTAGGAAAAAAAGTCATTTAAAGCTACAAAATATTGATGGGCACTGAAGTTGCTTCCACATCATACCCCTGTAATATCCTGAAATTTATAATAATAATAATAATAATAATAAAGTTACAAGATAGACCTGACAACTAAATACAATGTGTGGACCTTGTTTATATTTTGATTGGAAAAAAATTAAATATGACAGAATGTTTTGGAACAATGAAATAAAATTGAGTATAATTTGGGCATTGGATAATATTAAGGAATTAATAATTTAGCTTGTCGTGGTAATAGCATTGTGATTTTTTGCTTTTTAAAAAGCTTTATCTAAAAAGCATATGATGTCTGAAATTTGATTCAAAATATTTCATAAAACAATTAGGATGAGGAACAAATGAAAAAAAGAAAAGAAGAATGATATTAATTGTTGAGACTGGATATTGGGTAGTTGGTGGTTCATTGTATTGTTCTCTATTTTAATAAATTAAAGGAAACGAGGACAAGTGCAATAAAGCAGAGACATGGTACTTTGAGAGCCTTTAATAAAATATTTTTCCGAGTCAGAAAATGTCTCATGAGGAACTGACACTTGTGCTGAGATGTGAAGAATGTGTCCAATGTAAATAGAGGGAGGGTGCAGGGTGAGTCAGAGGGTTAAGACATCCAGCAAGGCTGCGGTAGAGAAAGTATCTCCAAATCCAAGGGAAATGTGTCAGGTATTCATAGGTAAAAGTAAGAAATGTGGCTGAGTTTCTCCTTATTCAGACCTCCCCTTCAAAAAAAAAAAAAAAATGTAAACTAGTTTTGAGAAGAGGAATTCTAGACCCTTTTTCCAGTTTAATTTTAATGTCAGGCTGTAAAAAATTCAGGCATATACCCTTATTAGTGCTTAAATTTCCAAAGGAGTAGAGTTATTGAGTTATCATCCTCTCAATTTTCACTGTGAAATAGCTATATCCTTAATACTTGGCCAATGTGTGGCATTCATTCAATATGTATGAGAAGCTCAATCGAGGTAAATATATTACTAGACAGATATGTGCTTCATTCATTTTATGTTCTAAAATAAATCCATAGTTCAAGCCTAATTAACAAAGAATTGAGTATTAATTATATCAACAACATTATTACCACCTCCTCCATGTCCCCTCACCCCCAATTATATTTATGTTTGGTATGATTCCAACAAACATTGTCATTATCTGAAACAGCTCTATAAGCAGTAATTTTTCTCTGTTAAGGATATAATTGAGAATATTATTTACTATATTACAAAGTATAATCTTTACAAAGATATATATCTAATCCCTGTCAGATGTTAATAGAAAAAAAAAGTTACTTCTGTTGGTTTTTAGCTCATGAAAATTTGGAATTGCATACGTTATAACTTACATTTTATATAGCCTTGTAATTCAGCTAAAAAAAATACTTTCTGGAATAAGCATGGCTTAAGTAAATAAACCAACCTCACATCCTGAGCTTTTAGCTTATTTTTCAATTAAATAAAAAGTGAGGGAACTGAGCTTTGTAGATCTGCAGAATCTGTCATTTTACTGATGAAACTCAGTATGCAGTACAATTGGTTTTAACCTCCTCTAGCTCTAGTGTTTATGAAATTAGAAGGCACTTGACAGATGTTGAGCAAGATGAATATGATGATTCCCTTGATAGCTACTATGCCACTTCAGATATACCACAGCAGAACTTGCCACCTAAGTGTTGGATTGGGTTATGTGCCAGCTTCAACCACTAATTCCCTCAGTGCTAGGGCGGGAAGAGCTCCAATGTCATTTAACTGTATTTGAGAGTAGTCTCATCTATTTACCCCAAGTTCACAAATATACAAATGTTATCATTTTTTGTGTGTGCCAAAGAGTGAAAATCAGAAACAGTGGAATATCATCCACCCATTGTCAGGATCTTAGATTTTGAATTCAAATACTATTTTAAACATGATCAGTAAAAACATCTGTGGCTACACTTGTCATAGTTTGAATATATAGAATTTGTAATATCTACACCAAATCCTAGGAATTTTAAGTGCCTTTCCAAAGCAAGACCAGCAAAGTGGAAGATCTCTTAAAATCATTGCTCAGGAGACAAAAAACAGAAAAAAAGTGATTCCCTTGCGGAAGTATGCCTGTCTTACTCATTTAAGTAGCATATATGCTCTATTTAGGAGAACACTTTTAAATCTATTCTATTACCTGATATTCTTTAAGACTTATTTCATCATCACAAAACCAAATTATTTTGACTTTATCAAGATAATTTATAAAGTTAACATATCCTTAAGGAAAAATTTTAAGGTGTTAGGAAAATACTCTGTGCTCAGCAGTAGTGTGTTTGCTGACTGGATATTTCACAATAATCCCAAATTATATGTTGAATTCTTTGTCAAATGTGAATGACATTTGACATTCTTTACTCTTTTTATAGTTCTTTACTCTTTTTATAGTTGGTCTTTACTCTTTTTTTAGTTGACCTTGTAGTATAAATTTTCATTGAGTTTCAAGTTGTACACATTTGCTTTCCAAATAATCCTCAATCAGTTTAATGCTACCTGTAGTACCAAGAGTGGCAATGATGGAACACAGAGAGGCTCCTGGAACACTGTTGGTGGGAATCTAAATTAGAAAAGTCACTATGGAGACATTATGGAGATTCCTCAAAAAACTAAAAATAGAAATACCATATGACTCAGCAACACCACTTCTGGGGATTTCTACAATCCCATGTCTATTGCAGTGCTATTCACAATAACCAAGATATGGAATCACTATAAGTAATTCATCAATGGATAAATGGATAAAGAAAATGTGGTATGTATACACAATGGAAAATTATTTCACCATAAAAAAGGATGAAATTCTGTCATTTGTAGCAACATGGATGGAACTGGAGGTCATTGTGTTAAGTCAAATAAGCCAGGCACAGAAAGACAAATACTGCATGTTCTTATATGTGGGAGCTGAAAAAGTGAATCTCAGGGAGGTAGAGAGTTGATTAGTGCTTACCAGAGGCTAGGAAAGGGAAAGGGGTATAAAGAGAGTTTGGTTAATGAGTATAAAAATACAGTTAGAAAGAAATAAGAAGATACAGTGTTTGATAGTGCAGTTAATAATAATACATAATATATTTCAAAATAGCTAGAAAAGAGGAATTGGAATGTTCCCAACACAAAGAAAAGATAAATGATAAATGTTTGAGGTGATGGATATCCAAATCACCATGATTTTATCATTGCACAGTGTAGGCATGTATCCAAATATCACATATACCCCCAAAAATGTACAACTATTTTGCAACAATTAAAAAAAAAAAAGAAAAGTGGAGCTCCTGGAGGTAAGAATCAGCATTTTTAGCAAGGTTACATGCCTTCTTATACTTATGGTCTTGGACCTTCAAAAGGGTTAAGCTGATATTACACCCATCAAATTTCTTTCCAGACCACAACTACACAAATAGAAATGAAGAAAAGGTCACCAACTTCCACAAATATATCTTTGGATACGTTGGAAGATGCTACTCTCAGATATAAAGAAGGTAAAGTAAAAAATATTTAGACACTCACTATGGAAGGTACGTAAAACTGACTTTTAAAGAAATCCAACAATTTCTTCAGGATCTTAGATGGTAAAAACCAAAATTTAAGTAATAACATGAGAATATTAGAATGAACAATACATAAAAATTTCAGAAGCATAGTGTTTTAAACATTGGAAAGGGTGACCAAAGAACGCCTATAAATTTCGTTTAACAGTAAAAGATATTAAAATATAAATTTGTGACTAAATATGAAGATTGGAGTATATAACATTAATATTTCAATGTCTTTTCTAGTCTCTACATTTTTTATGTATAACCAATAATTCTTTATCATGGACAATTTTGAAAGGCATTATTTTGTAAAGCATATATATCTAGAAATTATAAATCATAATTTTCTCAACAATATTCCATATTTGTTTTCTTGAGAAACACTCCTACATCTTCCTTCTAATACACAGTTTGCCTCATTTTCATTTGTCTAACTCAACAGGCATGAAAGAAATATAGGAAATGTAACTTCTCTGCTTTTTATTAGTATAGAATACTTCTATTTTAAATTCCAAGTCTGAAGTTTAGTTTCAGACCTCCATTTGCATGTAAAAGTCAAAATCCTCTATTAGTTAGAACTTAAATAAACAATTTGTTAATGTCCAACTTTTCTATTCTTTCATTTCAGAACTTAAAAAATCCAGGAAGAAATGCCCATTTTGTTGGTATAGGTTTGCAAAACTTTTCTTGATATGGAATTGTTCTCCCTGTTGGTTAAAATTGAAAGAGTTTCTCTATAGGATTATAACAGACCCATTTACTGATCTTTTCATTACCATTTGCATAATTTTAAACATATGTTTTTTGGCCTTGGAACATTATCCAATGAGTTCACAAATTAACAATCTTCTCAACTTTGGAAACCTGGTAAGACTCTCATTGTGTGTTATTTCATTTGCAGTGTCAGTATTTCTTTATTTATCATTATCACCATTGTTTTATTTTATAATTCCAGTATGTTACAGTATACTTTATTATTGAATGAAGTGTTGTGTTCATGCTCTGTGCGCTCTCACCCCTGTTTTGTAAATGTTTCTGTCATTGCATACTTTTACAGCTGGAATTTAAAATTCTGCCATTTTAAAAAATTATTTTTATTTCAGAATATTACAGGGGAACAAACACTTTGGTTACATATATGGCCTTTGCACCACCTGTGTCAGAGGTACAAGGGTGCCCATCCCCCAGACAGTGGGCACCGCACCCATTAGGTGTGAAATTGCCCATCGCCTCCCCCCCAACCTGCCAGACACTAATGAACATTATTTCCATATGTGCACATAGTGTACATGATAAGTTAGTACCAATTTAATGGTGAGTACATACATGTGGTGCTTGTTTTTCCATTCTGTGATACTTCACTTCAAATCCATCCAGGCTGGTACAAGAGGTATTAATCCACCATTGCTTTTTATGGCTGAGTAGGACTCCATGTTATACATGTATCACATTTTATTAATCCACTAATGTATTGTGGGCTGGGCTGTTTGCACATCTTTGCAATTGTGAATTGTGCTGCTATAAACACTCAAGTGCAGATGTCTTTATTATAGAATGCCTTTTTTTTCCTTTGAGTAAGTACCCAGTAGTGTAATTGCTGGATCAAATGGTAGTTCTACTTTGAGTTCTTTAAGATAACTCCATATTAATTTCCATAGAGGTTGTACTAGTTTGCAGTCCCACCCACAGTGTAAGAGTGTTCCCTTCTCTCTGTATCCACACAAGCATTTGTTGTTTTGGAACTTTGGGATAAAAGCCATTCTCACTGGAGTTAAGTGATATCTCATTGTGGTTTTGATTTGCATTTCCCTGATGATTAGAGATGTTGAGCATTTTTTCATATGTTTGTTGGTCATTAGTTGGTCTTCTTTTGAAAAGTTTCTGTTCTTGTCCTTTGCCCACTTTTTAATGGGGTTGTTTTTTGCTTGTTGATTTTCTTGAGTTCTTTATAGATTCTAGTTATCAGTCCTTTATCGGATGTGTAGCATGCAAATATTTTCTCCCATTCTGTAGGTTGTTTATTCGTTCTGATGACAGTTTCCTTGGCTGTGCAGAAGCTTTCTAATTTGATCAGGTCTGATTTATTTATTTTTGTTGTTGCTGTCATTGCCTTTGGGATCTTGTTCACAAATTCTTTGCGTAGGCTGATGTCTGTAAGAGTTTTTCCAACATTTTCTTCTAGAATTCTTATGGTTTCATGTCTTAGATTTAAGTCTGTTATCCATCAAGAGTTGATTTTTATGAGAGGTGAGAGGTATAGATCCTATTTCAGTCTTCTACATGGGGCTATCCAATTTTCCCAGCACCCTTTATTTAAAATTCTGCCATTGAAATTTAGGATTCCTAGCCAGCTTCTTGACAGTCAAGTTAAGTGAAACTATTTATTGACCCCCTGCTTCCCAAATGTGCTGTCTCTTGGTACCATTGCCCCATGGATCAGAGTAGAGCAGAGGTGAAATAACAGGCACATGTAAGTGTTTCACTGACACCTGAGTTCTGAAATCCAGACCACAGCAGTACTTGGCCCTGCCTGTTCTAACCAGTCTGTCTTTGCCTTACATTGGAGCCTATCATTTAAGCCACATATTTCATATTTTTGAGATTCACCTGTTCTTTTTCACATACATTGCAAAAGACAAAATGGATTTTTATGAGTTTAAAAATAAGTCACATTCAAGCAAATACTATTATTTATATTTCTTTGCTTTCCTTATTGTTATTGTTTTGTTGCTTGGTACTAATACAAACAGCCAAACTGCTACCAGTTTCAAATTATATATTTACTTGATATCAAAAAGGCAATTTAGTTATTTCTGCTAGTATAGTTTTCAAAAGCCACTTTCCACAGGTTTACTCAAGGTGTTCTTCTTTTTGTTGTTGATAAAGTGAAAATTTAAAGTTTCTATACATTGAAAGACTGTATAAACAAAAGAGAAAGGCAAGCCACAGATTTTGAAATTATATATGCAATGTATATAATTAACAAAAGATTAACATCTAGAATATATAAAGAACTACCTTCACTAAGAAAAAAATATAGGAAAAGGACATGAACAGGTAATTTACAGAATACGAAGAAAAAAAGGACAGTAAATGTACACAAATATTTTCAACTTCCTAAAAATCAGGAAAATACAAATGAGATGAATTGTGCTAGAAGTCCTAGCCAGAGGAATCAGGCAAGAGAAGGAAATCAAAGATATCCACATAGGGAAAGAAGAAGTCAAACTATTGCTCTTTGTTGACAATATGATTTTATATCTAGAAAACCCCAAAGATTCTGCCAAGCGACCCCTGAAATTGATAAATACATTCAGCAAAGTCTCAGTTTACAAAATGAATGTACACATATCAGTAGCATTCATATACGCCAACAATAGTCAAGCTGAGAATCGAATCCAAGGCTCGATACCTTTCACAATAGCAACAAAGAAAATAAAATACCTAGGAATATATTTAGCCAAGGAGGAGAAAGACCTCTGTAAGGTTGTTTTTTCTGAATCACTATGTACCATTTTTATTCTTTCACAAGTTGAAAAATTAAATATCTTAATATGTATTCCATGTCTCAAAAAGAAATATTCTAAATGGGAAGCTTTTTACCCTCGAATATGCTTTTGTTTTCTTTAAGGGTGGCTTTTATTAAAATAATCAGAGAGTCTATACTCATTGTTAGACATTAGATTGTTAAATAAAATATATGAGTCTGTCCTTGTAATGCAGACTCCAAAACTAACCAGAGCTTGACAGGAACTGTGAAGAAACCAACAATGACAAGTTGACACCTTGTGTGGGTTAACGTTTCTGTGTATGAAGACTCTGATACAGCTATTGAAATTCTATGCTCACCCATGTGTTTTGCTTTGTTTTAGGTTTTTATTGGAATATTTGCAGCAGAAATGATTTTAAAAATAATCGCCATGCATCCATATGGGTATTTCCAAATAGGCTGGAACATTTTTGATAGTATAATTGTGTTCCTTGGTTTAGCAGAACTCTATCTAGCAAATATTCATGGATTGATTTCTTTTCGATCATTCAAGATAGTAAGTAGAACCCAAGACCTAATTTTTATTTTATCAAAGTTTATTTCAGTTTCATCAGACATAAAAAGGGGTGATAGTAATACCTATCCCAAGGGATTTTGGAAATACTATATTAAATGAATTAATTCATATGAAAGAGCTTAGTGCCCCAACAAAGATTAAGCAGTCTCCAATGCTGTTATTTGACTAAAGCATTAAAGGATGTGGGGCTGTATATGCAGCAAATTTGAAATATAGTTCTAGGAAGCAGGGTCAGGGTAACTGGGTAAGATTTGAAAAGCAAGATAATGAAAAGCCCCAAATGTGGAATGCCATTATGTGATCAAGTAATTCAAATCAGGTGAGAATTTCTAAATGTAGAGTAGAAAGACCAGTCAGACCAGTAGTAAAATGCTATTATAAAACTTATTAGATCAGAATCATAATGTGTCTACAGTGTAGGGTGGTAGTGAGACACTGAAAATCAAAGAAATAATGTAATTAGAATGGTATTTATTGAAACGTTAAGCATTTCATAGGTAATGTATTGTCACATTCTGGCAACTGATTGAAGGAATATAGCAGCAATTAAGAACAGTTAAGTAGATTTTGATTTATCCCAGTGATTACTTCCTAGAGGGCAGCTTCTTCAGAACCTTGCCTTAAATTCTCATTCAAAACTTCTCTAATGAATGAGATAAATATATACAGCATGTAGTCATCACATTTATGAATGAAACAAAACTGATAAAATGCATAAAATGTGCCAAAAGATACCAATATCTTAAAGACTAATATTGGACTCAATTTAAGATGATCAAATTTTACATGGATAAATGTAAAGTTTTACTTTTGAGTACAGAAAGCCACCTATACACTAGAAAAAGGAAGGTATAGCACATATAAAAGTAATGTATGGATTTTAGATGCCTATAAATTCACTGTGATATAGTAACAAAAATGTTAAGGTAATCTTATGTTGCATGAATAGAAATAAAAAATCTAGTGAAAAAAGGGGAATATTCAGACTGCACCTGGAATGCTGTGTTTAGTCTTTGATATGTTCCTTTAAAAGGGAAATACACAGAAGGACCTTCAGTGGAATTCAATGGATCCTCACAGACTTTCAATATCATCTGTATGTCAAAATATGGAAAAAATATCCAATGTATTGTGAAAAGCAAAAAGAAATAATGAGTAGTTGCCTATGAGATATTACACATAAAATGAGAATAATTATAATATAATATTTTAATGAGAATTGACAAATACCTCAATAGAAGAGAATATATTATAGATATAGTGTACAAAATGATATAATATGTAAGATGCATTGCATTATACCTAAAATGAGTATTCAGGGATTAATATTAATAATGGTTAAAAATTTAAAGGGTGTATATATGTATGTGCATAATGCCGTTAAAAATAATTAAATTTACATTGTAATATATACTGACCAGATGTTTTGTTTTTTGTATTTTGTTCTTGTTTTTTAAATTGCTCCATTAGTTGCGCATTTTCAAGTTGGGGAAATATTGGCCAACACTGGAGAATCTGATGCTGACTCTTAGTCATTCATGGGTGGCCTTGAGAGACTTGGTTCTGCTGTTGTTCACATTCATCTTCTTTTCTGCTGTATTCGGCATGAAGATGTTTGGTCGGAGTTACAAGGAATGTGTCTGTCACATAGACAAAGACTGTCAACTCCCACGCTGGCATATGTCTGACTTCTTCCACTCCTACCTGAATGTGTTCCGAATTCTCTGTGGAGAGTGGGTAGAAACCTTATGGGACTGCATGGAGGTAGCAGGTCAATCCTGGTGTATTTCTTTTTACATGATGGTCATTTTAATTGGAAACTTATTGGTAAGTAGTCCATGTTTTTACATTTTCTTTTAAAAACTAGTGCAAGATATTCTGACATTTTCATGATGTGGATTGATGGGTTCCAATGGTTTATAATGGTGTTATCCAATTTGGTGACCACTAGCATATGTGGCTTTTAGCAGCTGAACTATGACTGGTCCAATTTGAAATGTGCTGTCAATGTAAAATATGCACTGGATTTGGAGTCTTACCCAAAAAAGAATGTACATTATTTCATTAATAATTTTTATATTGGATGCATTTGAAAATTCAGTAAATAGTCCTCCCATCTGCAGTTTCATTTTCTTAGGTTTCAGATAACCGTGGTCCAAAAATATCCAAAGGAAAATCCCAGAAATAAGCAATTTGCGAGTTTTAAATTGCCTGCCATTCTGAGTAATATGATGAAATCTCCCACCATCCTACTTTGCCCTGCCCTGGACATGAATCATCTCTTTGTCCAGCATATGCATACTGTATATGCTACTTGCCTGTACCTTGGTAGCCGCCTGGGCTATTGGGTTGAAAAAACATAGTATACGTAGCGTTCAGTACTATCTGTGTTTCAGGCATCCACTGCAAGTCTTGGAATATATCTTCTGAGGATAAAGTGGGCTACTGTAGTTATATTTAACTAAATATATTTAGTTAAATTTAATTCATTAGTAAAATTGATCTCACCTGTTTTTGTTGGATTTTTTATGTGACCACTGGAAATTTAAAATTGCATATGTGACTTGCATTATATGTCTACTGGATAGTACTAGTTTATAACCTTGCTACTCGGTGTATCATTGACATCATTTGGGAGATGGTTAGAAATGCAGACTCTCAGATCTCATCCCAGACCTATGGAAGCATAATCTACATTAGAACAATGTCCCTGGTGATTTGAGTGCACATTAAATTTTAAGAAGCACTTAAATCTAACACTGGCTGTCAAATTTGCCTGTGCATTGGAATTACCTGGGGAATTAATAAAAACATGCTGATGCTTTGGATCAGTTCCCAGAGATTCTGATTTTATTGATATATGAACATGGTCTGATCATCAGTATTTTTTTTAATCCTCAATTGATTAAATTGTGCAGCAAAGATTGAAACTGGTCTATAAAATTGTTATGCATTAACTAAGGGAGAAAGCTTTCACTTTTAAATTTCCTAATAATTGAAGTGGAGTTATATGAATTGAATAGTAGCTTTCACTGCTTCTAAGAAAAAGGTATGGCTTATAAAAGAAAATGGTCCTTACAGGAAAAAAAAAGACTCAGTATTTGCATTTTACTCATATGTCATAAAGATCAGGAACATTTCCCAAAAGACTAAAAAAACAATCACAAATTAGACTCAGTTTTATCTATGCCCTTTCTCATTGCTTCTGTTCCACCTTGGAAATACCCTTCTCATACACTTATCACATTGGCATTGTGTTTGTCTACCTTCCTTACAAAACTGTAAGCTCCATGAGGCAAGGAACCATGACTCCCCTCTGTATCATAAAGCCTAGAATAGTGTCCAACATATAAAAATACTTTAATACCCTCTGTTCTTTGTAGCTATTACTAGTACACTTTTGATTCCTGGTGATTAAAACGCTATTCTAACTGACTGAAAAAAATCATCATGTAAATCAGCATACATAATGCAAAATATCAGAGAAAGAGAGAGAGGGAGATCTTGCTTCATTTGTGGTATGGCACATATGTTCAAATGGGATGATTAAAGGTAGGTTTTTGTACATCTCAATTCTGTCTTTCTCCTGTGCTCTTTGCTGGCTGGTATCCCCTGTTTTGTCAAGATGTCTTTTGTCATCTAAAGCTTCACATCTTCATATCATATCAAGTCTAATAGAAGACAATTTCTTTCCTAGAGACCACAATAAACTTTTTCTATTGTCTCATCAACTTTGAGTCATATGTCCATTTTTGAACTAATTTCTATTGCCTAGAGCATGGAATGCATTTATTATATTAAGCCATTTAGAACTCTCTGTTAGTGCTGGAGTTGATACCAATCCAAACCCAAATCATATGACTAATAATGGGATAAGAGCAATTTGCCCAAATTAAATGTCTGTTTCTGTTTCCAAAAGGAAGGTCCATGGCTGTTGAGAGAAGCACCAACACCACACACACAGTTCAGAAGCAAGTAAACATAAATGCTGAAGCAAATGTATATATATTAGATATTTATATTATTCACAATATATACATTTAAATAATGCATATAATATAATGCCTCAGCATTTCTACTTCCTTGCTTTTGAATTCCATTCTATTTCTATTTTTCTAATTCCTAGTGATGAGAAACTTCAAGTCACTATGCAGGGAGATTTCAGGATAAAATGAAATTAAATGAGCCTCCATTTTTAATTGGTTGGCCATCATATTTCTTGGCTCACTAAATCCTTTAAGATTTATTCCCCTCTATAGTCATCCAGCTGTGGGACATCATAAAAAAAACACTAGAGTAAGTAGAAGGGGGAAAAAATGCAAGGAGAGAATTTGTGAGGTTGTTGATCTTTATACCCTCCATACTTCCAACATGCAATGATGTAAAAAGAAGGTAATTTACACTTTTAAAATTTAATTTTTTCTTATTCCTTTAATAAAATTCCAACAGTGATTCTGAGCCTTACGTGGAAATTTTTTTAAAATTCACATTATACAAAAGCAAGCATTTAATGTGGCTTTTAAATTTTTCTGTCGTGTTCAGTTGTAGAAAAAATACAGCATTTGTCCTTGTTCATAGTACACAGCCTCTTTAAATTGGACTCATTTAATTGGAGAATGAGCATAACAACAATGTATGCCTTATAAATTTATGTTATTTAAATAATTATCTACCACACTGTAAGTAATTTATAAATGTTTGTTTTCATTTCTTTACACTCTAGAAAATGTTAATCCCTACATCTACACCAAATTTTTATTAATTATTTAGACATTTCAGTAAGGCAAATCTGAGAGGTGCTATTTTCTTCCAGAGTTTTACCTGTAATTTAGATAGTGGCCACCAGATGAAATATAATGTCTGGTTTTGATTACATAAACTAAACAATGAGGGATAGAGACATGAAAAGAAAAATAGAAAAGTTAATACAAAATTTGTAATCATTGCTTTTTAAAAATTAAAAAATCATGAATATGTATATTGTCCTATATATATTTATATATATACCCAAATTAAATATAATTAAGATATAATTCTTACAATATTCAAATAAGAGTCTCCATACATGTTAAATTCCTTAATACATGTTTATTTGTTGATTTCTAATCAGAAAAAATTACTTCAATAAATTTTGAATTTTCTTTCTCTTTCATACTACTTGATTTTTATGTGAATTGCTCAAATCTCACCCAATAGGTAAATATCCTTTGAGGAGGAAACGAATAAATTTCAGGGAAACTTTTAAATGTTTTGTTTTATATACATTATTTCATTTTTTCTCTGTTAACACAAAACAATATATGTTTCAAATTTGGTTATAGATTCTGTGAGTATAAGAATGTTAATCTAAATTTATATAGTATAATTCATATAATGTAATTTATAAATTACTCTAAATTTATACAATATCATCCTCCTTTTCTCCCTCTCTTCTTTATTAGTGTTCGGATTAGAATAAGTAATGAATCCTCCATAGCTTTGGCCATTTACACAGCCTGTTCTTCCTTTTTTAATCCTTTAAGAGACCAGGCTATTTTTAGTTCAGAGCACATCTGAGCAAAGCAGTAGCAATTGTGATGTTATAAAGTTCTTTCCTTACACCACAGTTTCAGAGCATTTTGAAGTTTTAATATTAACTTCATTTTCAGCATTTTAACATTCTCACTATATATGTATATGTGTACATATCTGTGAATGTGTATGTCTAAGATACAAGAAATCTTAAATTGTAATCTCTTAAAAATATAATTAATTGGTAAAGCATCATTTTTCCTTGTCCAAATCCTGGCTTAAAATCTATTCTTTTATTCATTCTATAATTCATATTTTCAACAAATATTTACTTACCACCTACTTTGTGCCTAGCAGTGTGGTGGTTGTCTAATTACAAGAAAACCTGGTTCCTGCTTATATGAAGCTTGCAGTCATAAAACTCTTACCTAACACCATTTCCATATTTCACACTGTGCCTAATGCTTAATTGAAGGAGGGGAAAAAATGAACTACCTATCTTGCATTAGGGCTCACCTTCTTATATCAGGAACCTCTGTCCTTTAAGAATGATAGAGAAGTTAATAGTGAGGTTCCACACATATTATCTGCAAGTAAACCTCATTGCCAAATGAGACACTAGTGATAGACAAGTTGAACTAATCTTGGAAGGTATTATCATATGATCATTGTCCTTTCAGATTTTATTTTCTCTCCTCTAAGATTCTGTTGTTGTGGTTTATAGAAAATATCTATCAGCTGTCCAGATGATCTTACCTATAAGATATTTCCCATATTGAGCTATCTTGTAACCTAAATTTTTGTTGCTATGCCAAAACTATGGTTGAGATTTAGATTATTTACTTGGTGACTTTATTATCTGAAATAATATTTTTATATTTCCATATGAGTCTTATTTTAACTTTATTCCAAAGATATTGAAGATCTAGGTAGAAGAAGTAAAAGTAACCCATTAGGATTGAACACTATTTGAGGGGCAGTTCATATTATCTCAGCTGTGTATGTCCATGAGAAAACGATTGACTATAAGAGTTTTTGAGAACCTCATCTCTTCACATTGTTCCAAAATTGTTGAAAGAAGTTTTAAAATATGTATGTTTGGAGATATTCATATACTTATTTCATTTTATGTAACTGTAAATAGTCAGCGTAATTATCCAAAAATATAATCTATGCCCTACAATTACAAACAAGATTAAAATCTGATTCTCTGGAAACTTAACAGTCCTTAATTATATTTCTTAGTGATAGTAAGAACCAAAATATACACTACCTTTGAGTTCAAAATAAGTTACAAGTATTAGTTATGATTCTTCCTTTACTTATTTGTTTCTTGCTTGACTAAATTTATTACAACAGAGAATCAACTAAACTACCCAACATTAATAGGAGGTGTGATTTAGTAGAAAGCTATATCTACAGAGATCACATCTGCACTATGGGGTTTTCGCTTTGCACCCCACTGTGGGATCATTTCAGATCATTCACAGGCCTGGGAGGGTCAGGGAATCTCTTTCCATGTCTCAAGAACCATTAGCTGTGGTTTTCAGGACCATGGCTAGCTCTCTCCCCATGAAATTCCTCCTGGGTTTGCAGAATCATTACAAATCTTCATGGGATAGAGCTGAAGTGAAGTGAGTTGCCTGGAGTAATAATTCATTTTCTCACCTTGGGTGAGACAGTGGCTCAGTGAGAAAATAAGCTTTGAAATAAGACAAACTTGAATTTACTCTGTGTGACCTTTGATATTTGACATGTTAGTTTTGCCTTTTTCATCTATAAAAGAGAAACAAATCATATTGCATACAATGTTGTGAGCTTAAGATGTGTTCTGGGTACACAAACCCCTAGTACAGCACCTGACACATTGTAAATGAGTAAGAACTGAGTATCATTTTAGTTCATGTGCTCAGTTTTCAAATTTGAGGTCAGTTTTTTTTTTTTCAAATTTACTTATATTTTAGATTGACTATAAAATTGTAAGTATTTATTGTGTACAACATAATGTTTTGAAATATATATAGATTATGGAATGATTAAATCTATTAGTGGCTAATTAACAAATGCCTATTTCACACAATAATCATTTTTGTGGTGAGAACATTTAATATTCATTCTCTAGAAGTAGAGAGTAGAATGGTGGTTACCAAAGGCCGGGGTGGTTAATGGGGAGTAAATGTTGGGGAGATGTTGGTCATAGAATGTATAACTACAGTTACATAAGAGGAATAAGTTAGAGAGATCTATTGTACAACTTGGTGACTATAGTTAATGACAATATATTGTATTTCTGAAAATGCTAAGCAAGCAGATATTAAGTGTTTTCAAATCAGCTTTTGTAAAAGATATTTTATTGTTTAAAAGAAAACAATGGGATACATTTAGCCTCATTTTACTTCCTCATTTAGATACTTTACCTATTTCTGGCATTGGTGAGCTCATTTAGTTCATACAATACTGCAACAACTGAAAAGAACAAGGAAGCAAAAAATCTCCAGCTTGCAATGGAGAGGATTAAAACAGGAATAAACTATGTGTATCTTAAAATATTATGCAAAAAACAAAATATCCCAAAGGAGACAATGGACCATGTAAATGACGTATATGTTAAAGAGGACATTTCCGACCATACACTCTCTGAACTGAGCAACACCCAAGATTTCCTCAAGGACAAGGAAAAAAGCAGTAGCACAGAGAAAAACACAATGACCGAAAATGAGAATCAATCACTTATCCCCAGTCCTAGTGTCTCAGAAACTGTACCAATTGCTTCAGGAGAATCCGATATAGAAAATCTGGATAATAAAGAGATTCAGAGCAAGTCAGGTGATGAAGGCAGCAAAGAGGTAAGATGTTTTAATATCCTGATTGCTTACTGATTTGTGGCGTTGTTGATAAGGAAGTAAATCAGTGCAATAGTGCCACAGTCTGATTCCTCTTTCAATGTTAGCTCCGCCACTCCTGGCTTCAGATTTTGTGCTCCTGATCTGATTACTTAAACTTTATAAACTTCAGTTTCCCCATCTGTAAATGAGGATAAAATTGTCCTTACTTCTTATGGGGAATAGAAGAATTAAGAAAAATAGTTTGATAGTACCTAGAACAATGTCTGGTATATAGTAAACACTTAGGAAACATTAGATAATATTATTATGAAAATGTTTAATTAATAAGCAGGCAGTTTGGGTCATGAAAAGCATACTAAAGAAACAAAAGTTGTTTTTTTTTTAAAATCAAGATGTATTATTGAAGAAATCATATTAAACTTCCCTGGGCTTAATTATGTTTTACATGTAAAAATGAATTAGAGGAGTGCTAAGATTTTTGCTTGCTTCCTAAAATTCTAAGATTCTGCTAGTTCATTTCTGTAGCATGTATTATAACATTTAATTAAGTTGGACTAAAAGAATAAAAAAATCCCACCAGTTGGAATTGTAAACAGTTGATAGTGTTATAGCCCTCTGGCTTAAAAAAAAAAGAGTCAGAAGTATATTCAAAGAAGGATAGATATTGTTATCCATTTACCTTCTAAAATGTGCACCATACTGGAAACAGTCTTATTGTCTCCATTTGCAAGTAGCATAATGTCTTAATAGGAGGTGTGATTTAGTAGAAAGCTATATCTACAGAGATCAAATCTGCATTATGGGATTTTTGCTTTGGACCCCACTGTGGGATCATTTCAGATCATTCACAGGCCTGGGAGGATCAGGGAATATCTCTTTCCAGGTCCCCAACATCTCTGGCACCATCTTGTTTCCCTTACCTCTGAAGTTGACACTCCCTTCCATAACTTCTCAAGTCAGTCTTCTAATAGGAGTTCAGTTTCAATTATTCAAGGTCCTTCTAGCATCTACTGAAGGCATTTTAGTTTTAGTTAGAGAAACATTTGCACTCCACGCACATAGTTCATTTACCAAAAATTAGTACCGTTACTAGGAGGTGGAAATTCCTACTCAGCACACTTCTGTAACTTCACTGAAGACTTTGACTACCATATATTTCTGGATAAAATTGCTATTTACCACAGCACTGTCATGTTGGATTATCCCCAGAAACTTCTTGCCCATCTTTTTGGAAAGTCTGGAGTATGAAAATACATAGGAAAGCTGTAATTTGAAATAACTGTAAATGTTGAAATTATAGAAATTGTCATTTGTGCTGCATAAATATTTGGTCTTGGTTGGTTAACTAGTCACAAAAGATATATTCATTTATTTATATATTTAGTTATACATTTAATTTAATTAGTCAGGCACTTTTTAGATTATGTAGCCTATGAGTACTTAGGATGTTGATCTACCAAAAGCCAAGAAAAAAAAAAAAACAGAGAAAAGAAACATAAAAATCACTGATAAATCAGAGCTACAGTACTTGTTCCTTTGGTATATGCACTTACAGACTTCTTTTTATTACAAATACACACATATATGTACATATTATAAAAAACATCAAACTTTACATCATGTTTTACAATGTGTTTTTTATAATGTAGTAATATATTGTTGGTCACTTTCTCATGCCATTAAATAATCTTCCACCAAAATAAATGATTTACAATTTTGAATCCTAATTTATTTACTTATACAATTAAAATAATTACTACTCATGGGGTTTTTTTAAAAAAGTTCACATCAAATAGTTTGTGCCAGGGTTTAAAATACTCTTTAAAAATATAAATGTAAAGCATATAATTTTAATTATGGGTTCAAATTTTATATTTCCTTTACTTATTGTTTACACTCAAATAAATACATTGTTATAGCCTTTATTTCATTAGAAATAAAATTTTAAAATATAAAGGAAATAAAAGGATAAAAAAAGATTTGTTTCTTTAAGTGTAATATTCTCCTGGATATTTTATTTTTTTAATTGAATACTATACTGACTTACTGACAATTGACCCTGTAAGGACTAAAGAAGACAAGACTTTATAATTAAATTTCCTTGACATTTATTGTGTATAAGACCAAGAGTAGACAAAATATTTATAATTCCTTCTTCTTCTTGCTTGCGACTTTACCAAGACATTTTCTTAATTTTTAAGAAATAATACTAGTTTTATTTCATATAATAGCATGCTTATCTTGATTTATTTTAATTAGAAAATATTATTTACATACTATTAACTTTAAGATCTTGGTTACTTTAAAGGATGATATATTGTATACTCACTTTTTTAAAAAAAGCATTATAAGAAAATAATTTCAAGTAAAGGCAAATCATGTTATTTGCATTATTTCCTTTGCAAAGCAATGACCACCTTGTCCTAGCCAGCCTTGGACTTTAATGGAGACTAGAGTGGGGGAAAAAAGGCAGTCTCTGCATCCAGGTTCTTTCCATAGGGACTGTAGCGTTTTCATAAGCATGTTTTGTCCCGATTCCTTGTGCCTTTCCTTTATGTCACTTCATGACAAACTCACATCAATCCCATCCTATGATGACATGCACAACAATGTCTGGACTGGATTTTACAATATAAAGGAAGTGCATGAATATCTCCCCATGTTTAGCATCAAAGAAGTATTTGTTTTGAGCTACAGATCTGTTTGAAAGAGCATATACTGGAAACTTGTAACTTCAAGAAAACTTTGGAACCCAAATTCTTTTGTAAATTGAAGGTAGCCTATATGTCTTTTAGAAGCAAAGGGTTATTAACTAAATGCTAATTTTAATCTAAATATTATTATGGCTTAAATTAAGTATTCTAAAATATTTTTTAAAACTTCAACTTATACCAAATATGGATTTATTGGGTACATTTTAATACCAATCATGAAATGGTCCTAAAATTTTTAAACTTGATAATATTCTTTCCGTACATAATTATTCTCACTTCTGAAAATGAAATGAATTTTAGCTACAGTGAGTAAATGAAACTTTAATCATAATTGTTTTGGTGGGACTTTACTTTTTAGAAAATAAAGCAATCTAGCTCATCTGAATGCAGTACAGTTGATATTGCTATCTCTGAAGAAGAAGAAATGGTCTGTGAACGTGAAAGGCCAAAGCATCTTAAAAATGGTAAGAAAAAAATTTCTTTGGCAATTTTATTGAAATTAGATTAAATTTCTCTTAACCTAAGTAATAGTATTGGATATACTTTTAATTTTAAAGAGGCACACTTATAACTTTGACTCAAATAGTACAATATCAATTTACATAACTAAACTGTTTCTACCCCCATAATATTCTCAAATAAAAAAATTTTAAATCGGTTTATTAATTTGGCTAAGGGATACACACACACGTGTGTGCATGATGTATCCTGACAGACACTTATAATAAATGTCAAAATATGTGAACATTGGTAAAAGAGGGAAAGGGCCTATTTCCTAAAGTTTAGTGGAGTAGTAAAGAAGGTTGATTTTGAAATCAGACAGCCTGATTTTAAAACCCAGTCCACCATTTACTTACCTTCTCTCTGTTTCAGTTTCCTAACCTGTAAAAATGAGAATAATAATAACATATATCTTATGGTATTGTTAAAAAGATCATATTAGGGTACATATATGTGTGCACGTGTGTGTGTATAATCTTAGAAGAGAAAGAGAACCTTGCCCCCCAAAGAGCAGCACCCAATAATAATGTCAATGTCATCATCATTATACTTCATTATTTAAGTTTACAGAGACATTAATTGATATAGTTAATGCCGAATAGAACAATGAGTAGCCTTATGTAAGTGGAATATTATTGATAATGTTGATTCTAAAACATATTTTCCATACTATAGGTAATATTGGGTAAAATCATATAATATTCATATTTAATTTTATACTGGTAACTATATAACTATGTACATTAGAGAAAAGCATGATTTTGGAGGAAAACATAAAATCTTTATAATTAAAGCAGTTGTGAAAAGTACATATCTATATTATATGTATGCACACACATCTATACATACACATGTATGTGTTGAAGTGGAATAAAATATTCTCAGACTTCATGAAATGGTGTCAACATTTAAAATACTCATATGAAAATATCCTACAACTCTCATATGAAAACAGATTCTAATAGTAACATTTATATTTAACATGAATATTAAGATTGTACAAGGATCCATGTAGATATATAATATATACATTTGATGTCTTATACTTCAAATTAGTTTCCTAGAAAAATTAAGTAATTACTATCATTTGGACATTTGAAATCATTGGAAAATCATCAAAAAGGTAACTTCTAAATGCTCAAATTTCTGTCTTTAAAATAAGAATCTGTTCTCAGTAGCATGAATTCTAGGACTTACATCATTTAAGACAAGGGAGAAAATGTGTCTCATATATTTGGTTTTTTGTTTGTTTGTTTGTTTGTTTGTTTTGTAGATAGTGTCTCACTCCATTGCCTGAGCTAGAGTGACATGGTGTCAGCATAGCTCACAGCAATCTCAAACTCCTGGGCTCAAGCAATCCTACTGTCTCAGCCTCCTGAGTAGCTGGGACTACAGGCATGTGCCACCATGCCTGGATAAATTTTTCTATATATTTTTAGTTGTCCAGCTAATTTCTTTATATTTTTAGTAGAGACGGGGGTCTTGCTCTTGCTTGATGCTGGTCTCAAACTTCTGACCTCGAGCGATCCTCCTACCTCAGCCTCCTAGCGTGCTATGCCTTATATTTTTTTGACCCCCAGGTGTGTAATTTAACACTAGGCAAAATTTTAAAATGAAATATTTTGACTTTACACTCCACCTACTTCCATTTGTTCGTTTCCTCATCTGTTTATCAATCTCTTTTCAAATCAATCTCTTCTCTTTTCTTCTGTTAACTCTCTTGTTCAGACCCACACTCATGTACTCTACCCACAAAATACTTCGTTGGCCAGGTTACTTCCTTAAACAGTTTCAGTCAAAATTCCAATTTTCATGCAACTTAAGAACTGAAATCAAAGCAATTTAATTAGCTAATATTATGCCTCTTAACATCTTGTGCGTGTTTGTGTTTTTAAATGCAAATGAATGTTATTCCATATGAATCTTTACAGAGTGCAGTTTCATGCATTAGACCACAGTGTAGCATTTAGGAGATGTGTATATTTATTTCTTTTTGTAGGGGTGGGAAAAAATTCTGTTCTCAGACTGTTCTGCAGTGAGGGGATGCTCTAAGTTGTCCCTGCCTTTTACAACTTCTTTTCTCTGACTACTATAAAATGCACAAGTTCAGTTTTTCTTCTACTGCTCAATGATTTCAGTGGTCACTACAGCTTCATTAAAAATCAACTGTTTATAAATAAGAGACTACCTATATCAAATGTGTAAATAAATAACTGCTGAAGCATATGGTAGGATGTTTGAGGTGTGTACTTTTTCATGAGTTTTCCACGTTTTTGTTCTTAGCAGTTTCTTTCTTGGCAGATTATGGACGGAGATCTTCACCTGGTCAAATCAGTAGAGAATATAAGAAAGGAAAAATTTGGCAGAACATAAGGAAAACCTGCTTCAAGATAGTAGAGAACAGTTGGTTTAAGTGTTTTATTGGCCTTGTCACTCTGCTCAGCACAGGCACTCTGGTAAGTGAGAGGCCAGGGCGTGTGATGCTTCTGTGGGTACAAATGTTCCGTAATTCTGTTAATTCAGAAAGTCACCAGACAGATAACTTTCTCTAGAATACTTACTGTAGCACCAAATTTCGTATTCTGTGATTTGGGCTTTAAAAACTAAATGTTACACTTTCTAAGAAAGTCTGTATGTGTATCATTCAATATTAAATTTAATATTGTTATTAAATTGAAATATAAAGTTAAATAAATGATATAATTTCAAAATATATGAGTGATAGTGGGAAAATAAAATGTTCGTAGATATTTGATTCTTCTGATTTTAATGAAGTTTTGTTTGTCAAACAATTTAATAATTTGGACATCCAAAACTGCTGCATTGTGTTTGTACTTTGGTACCTATTCAATAAGGAAAGTGAAGATTATATATACTTTTAAGGGCCTTTAAACTAGAAATGTATTTACCCTTTGACCCAACAATATTGATTATGGAAAATTGTCCTACAAGTATCTTCACATGTATTAAATGCATTTACAGAGTTAATTGCTTAAGAATTTTTTGTAATAGCAAAGAATTGGGGAAAAAGAGTCTATAATAGGTGATTCCTTGTACTATGGTACAGTCGTTTAATGGAATGCTATGTAGCTATTTTAGAAATACAGAGCTGTCTGTATACTGATATTATAATTCTCCAAGATATGATAATAAGTGAAAAAAGAATGGTCTAGAATAAATTGTATGGCCTTCTGCATTTACGTAGGAAAGGAAGAATAATAAAATATATTGATGTTTGTTTCCATTTCATTAAAAAAGATCAGAATAGGATACACAAGAACTATTTAATTGTGAGATGCACTGAGCAGAGGATGAAGTCATGGTCATGAACCAGACTGCACTGCACTAATCCAGCCTGAGTAGGCTAATCAGTGGCCCCCAATGAGTCCATATTATAATCCCCAAAACCTTTAAATGTTAATTTATGTGGCAAAAGAATCTTTGCAGATGTGACTAAGTTAAAGATCTTGAGAGGGGTAGATTATCCTGGATTATCTAAATGAGCCTAATGTATTACAACGGTCCCACAAAAGAAAGGCAGGAAGAGTTGGAGTCAGAAAAGAAGGTGATGTGAAGGTGAAAGCAAAGATTTGACTGTTGTGCTTTGAAGACTGAAGAAGGCATCACAAGCCAAAGTATATAGGCAGCCAGTAGAAAGTGCAAAGGAAGGAAATGAGAGCCATGAGAGCCTCCAAAAGGAACCAGCCCTCTTGATACTTTGTGACCCCAAGAATGATAAGATTATAGGTTTGTGTTGTTTTAAGCCACTAAATTTGTTGTAATTTGCTACAGCTACAATAGGAAGCTAATACACAGTTTTCTCAGGATCCACTCCCAGGAATACTCTCCCATTTCCTGCTAGTACATGTTACTAAGTTCTGCATATGGGCCAGGTCCTCTGGCATATATAATCCTTCTTCCTTAGCAATCTCAGTACTTCCCTAGCCACTTAGAGATTCGACCTTATACATTTGGTAGCCAGGAGGGGAGGTAGAGGTAGATTTTAGAGGGTTTTATTAAGACACCTACCTCATTGGAGGCTTCTTCATGGTCCTCAAGCTAGGCTATGTCCAGTTTGCTCTTATTGGAGCCCAAACTGCACCACAGAGTTTCACCTTTAGTGAAGCAAGTGGCATTTATATCTCTATGTCATTTAGCCATCGACTGAGGTGCATCCCTCTAGGAGCAGAAACTTTGCTTCTTGGGTGAGGTGGCTCTTGTTTAGCAGGAGCAATTCTCCAGAAAGGGCTTCATTTGTGTCTTATGAACCAACACTAATAGTTGCTATGATATAGGTAGATTTGGCAGTAAAAGCATTGTTCATACATGTTTATGCCTGTGATATTGGCCCCTCTATTATTAAGAAATATCCCTAAGTTATATATCTTATCTCATTTGATATTACCTTTATTTTTATTAAAATTACATGACAAATTCTTTCATCCTACATATACTCTGACCTTTTCCTTTCTATAATTAGGGTTCATCTGCTCTTTATTGATGCAGCAATTCTGTGATACCTTTAAAAAGAGATCCTTTTTAAACTTTATGTAGCTTTCCTAGTTGTTATCAGCAGGAACATTGGCCTGGTAAAAATTATTTCATCCATGTTAATTGAAGTAGAGGCTTCTGTATATCTTTTTATTGTATTTTGCATTAGGTTGCTGGATAATTGAAATATAAATATATGTAACAAAATAAAAAAAATTTAAATTACTTTTTGTGATATTTACAATCTGCTTTATAGACACTTTTACTCTACAATTTGTTCAATTAAAAATCATCAAGTCTATTGTTATTTGTATGTACTTCTAATAACAGTGGGTTTTAAGAATCACATCATTCTTTACATAAGATTACTTTAATCCTTGTTTACTTTCCATCTTTGGATGCACTTTGATAAGTGAAAGTCTGCCTGAAGTTATTGGTACTTATTGCCCATTCTCAGTGCTAAAAAACTATGAAATTGCGTTGAATGACATTATCAGACTTTACATGTTCCACATAAAAATTAAGTTTGACCTATCAAACCAGAGAAACTTTGGAGAAACAATTATAGTTTTAATTCATATTTATGTGTTTCCACTGGTTTGCCTGATTATTTTTGCAGCTGAACAAGCTTTGTGTCTTTTTCTTTTAGTAGCCATATAGGTTTCTAAAAACATTTTTAAAAATCTCTGTTCCTCTTTGAATAAGTGCCATATATCTGTGAGTTGGCTACCTGGAATAACCCATAAGATTCTTATCAGATGTGACTAAATGTTTTGTCTTTTATGCTAAATTTGATTAACTAATTTGAGAGGGGCTGTTAAAACCATTATGATGCGAAGTTTAGTCTCTATAAGAATTTCTGGGATCAATTAACGATGTCTCCTATAGGCATGGAATGAGAGAATACTACATATGGATTATGTCAATAAATACAAGCCCTTGAGACTACAACCTATAACAATGCTCGCCATATGCTTTTAGAGACAGTATATCATTCCCTTCTATGTCAACAGAGTTTTTAGAAATTACATGTACACCTAATCCTTACATTTTTAACCCACAGGCTTTTGAAGATATATATATTGATCAGAGAAAAACTATTAAAATTTTATTAGAATATGCTGATATGATTTTCACTTACATCTTTATTCTGGAAATGCTTCTAAAGTGGATGGCATATGGTTTTAAAGCCTATTTCACTAATGGCTGGTACAAGCTGGACTTCATGGTTGTTATTGTACGTATTTTAAAGAAAATTTAAAAGGCTATTTGATTTACTTTTTCTTCTTTGCTCTTACTCTTTAATTTCCCTTCCTCTTACTTATATCTTCCTTTTTCCTTTCCCTGCACATTTTTAGTCTCCAACATCCCAATTTTCAATGTTCAAAATCTTTTTCTTCTCATTCTAATAAGTTCAGCACTTCACCACTGTTTTATCATAATAATCACTTATGAACCCACTAATAACCAAATAAATATATCTTGCAATATCTTGAAAATATCAGCACCTATAAATTCTGTTGGCTTGACTTTTAAATGATATGTCCACAATTAGAGTACTTTCCATGATCTTCACCAGTCCCATGCTTATCTAAGCTACCAAAATTTCTCATTTAGATCACTATGGTAGATTCCAAATTGGCATCCCTGCTTCTGTCCTGCTCACCTTCATTCTGTTCTCTGCACAGCAACCAGAGTGGCTGTTGTAAAATGGGAGTCAGCTCACATCGCTTCTCTTCTTAGAATCCTCTAAAAGCACCTCACCTCACTCAGAACAAAAGCCACAGTCTTTCTAATCAATGACCTATGTGTTCCAATATTATCTCTATGTGTTCCAATATTATCTTTTTTTTCTTTCTATTTTTCCAATTCTTTTCCATTTTTTTTATTCTTTCAGCATATTATGGGGGTACAAATGTTAAGGTTACGTATATTGCCCATGTACCTCCCTTCCCCCTTGAGTCAGAGCTTTCAAGTGTGACCATCCCCCAAACGTTGCACATCTCACTCATTATGTTATCTTTTACTACTCAGCCTTTCCCCTGTCCAAGTCTATATACTGATGCACCAGCACTGACTGGACTTCTTGAAGCTTCTGAAACATGCCAAGATTATTTTCATTTTAGTACCTTTGCCCTATTTTTCATTCCACCTGGAACTTTTGTTGGCTTTTATATGTTAGCTGAAATGAAACTTTTGAAGTTAGGCCTCTCCTTACCACCCTATTTAAAGCTATAATCACTCCAATATTCCTTTTCCCTTTCTATTTTTCCTTCATATCCATAGCTCCCATTAATATTATATAATTTATTCATTTATTTGGTATATTGACAGTTTTTTCCCACGAAAAGATAAGTTCCATTAGAGCAGAATTTTTTCTCAGTTTTCTTTTCTCCTTTATTTCCTGTGCCTCGAACATTTGCTATCACATAGTAGATGCTCAATAATTTTTGTTGAATGAATGGATGGCTTCCTATTCTATAAGCAATGATGGAAGCTCCACAATCTATAATTAATGACTTACAATAGCTCACCTCTGTCTTCTAAATCAATTCTTACAAATTAGCCTTCTACTCTAGTCAAACCACACATCCCTGCAACTCACCTTCCTATTTCCTAGTCGTTGTTCTTATGTTTCCATATTCATCCATGCTTATGTAAATGAGCTGTCACTTCAAAGCCTACTTCAAGATCATCTCTGTAGTATAAGATCAGAAGAATAAATATTTCATATATTTGATTTGAAAATATGAACATACAATAAAAATTAATCATAACTCTACCACCTTGGTCAGTATTTATTAACTATGAATCATTTTTATACACATCTATATTTACTTTTTAAAATTACTTTCATGTCTGGTTACACTTTTTTGTAGTATGTACTTTTGACTTTATAATTAGATTTTATGATATTCATATCCTTATTATTCCTGTCCTCTGAAATTATTTTTTCTGTATTGTCTTAACCATATTCATATATGGATGCATTTGTAAATATATTTCAAATTTTGTTTTAATGAATATATTTCATACTAATACTATATTGCAAATAATGATGAAACTGATTCTTAATCTAATTTTAAACTGAAGAAAGATATGAATATTAATCCTTGACCATAAAGAATGTAAAATATACAAATTTTTCTTCATCTTGATGACATGCTTCTTCTTACCAGAAAATATTTTTGTTTTATCTTTTTTAAGTGATTTTAACACAAAATGATTTTCTTATAATTTTCTGTAAGCTATTATTAACATATTTTACAATATATATTGAAATTTTCCACAGATTTATTTGTAATCTTTGATTGTGTATCTCTCTTATAATAAATGTAAAGTTTATTTTATATATTATTTTGATTAAAATGGAATCCTGTTCATTTTTTTAATATATGTATAGGTATTTTGTCTTAGCTTAATAGGAAAATCTCGAGAAGAACTAAAGCCACTTATTTCCATAAAATTTCTTCGGGCACTCAGAGTTGTATCTCAATTTGAAAGCATGAAGGTAAGAGAAAAGTTTCTAAACTAATCTCTAGATTTTTATTTGAAATTACTAAATTTCTAAAAATTAACAAGCTTTGCTGTCTACTCATTTATATCTTTAACAATATTAATACAAAAAACCTTATATGCTGCTGCTCAAAAATAGGATATATTAGAGTATGTTACTTATGCTTATTAAGATTTTAGTCCCTTGTTGCTCATAAGATATAAAAATTAATAAACAAAATAAAAAGAAACTAATAGTTGAGAAAGCATACTTTCAAAAATACCTTTCTAATCGACATAAAGATGAATACTAATGAAATTAACTCAATTAAAAATATAACTGTCAGCAAATGAAACTCTGATTGGTTAACAAACTTTTTAAAATTATAAGAACACATTAAAAAGTGAGCAAAAGACATGAACAGAAACTTTTCAAATTATGATAGAGTAATGGCCAACAAACACATGAAAAAATGCTTACTGTCTCTAATCATCAGAGAAATGCAAATCAAAACTACAATGAGATATCACCTAACTCCAGTGAGAATGACTTTTACAGAAAGTCTCAAAACAAAAGATGCTGGCATGGATGCAGAGAGAAGGAACACTTATACACTGTTGGTAGGACTGCAAACTAGTACAACCTCTATGGAAAATAGTATGAAGATTTCTCAAAGAACAAAAAGTAGACCTACCATTTGATCTAGCAATCCCACTACTATGTATTTACCCAAAAGAAAAAAAAAAGACATTTTATAAAAAAGACACCTGTATGCAAATGTTTATAGCAGCACAGTTGCAAAGATGTGAAAACAACCCATCAATATGTGAATGGAGCCTTCAAAGAGTATCTTAATATAATTAATGTAAGCCACTGAAAGAACTCAGTTGAATGTTATGAGTAGTAGGCAATAATAGATATCACATTAATACATTTACTATGACTATATCTTGTTTGACACTTTTCTTATACTGTTTCTTACATGAGCCATTTAGTTAAAGCTTACTTTTATGAAAAATAGATGGATTATTTTAATATTCTCTGTACAGTGAATTTCTGTGTTTTAACTCTTTTCCACATTAAATTTCATTATAGAATTAGAAAAAAAAATGTGGTGTTTGTATACCATGGAATACTACTGAGCCATAAAAAATGGTGACCTAGTATCTTTTGTAACAGTCTGGATGGAACTGTAGACTATTATTGTGAGTGAAATATAGCCAGAATGGGAAAAAAAAAAACACCACAGGTAGTTAATAATAAATTAGAATTAATCTATCAACACTTATTTGCATATATGGCAGTAAAACTCAATGGAAATCAAATAGGAGGGGCGGGGAGGAGGGCTGGGAAAATTCACATCCAACAGATACAACGCAGCTATCTGGGTGCAGGGAAAACTTATAACTTTGACTCAAACTGTACAAAAGCAAATTATGTAACCAAATCTGTGGACTCCCATAATATTCTCAAATAAAACAAATAAATTAAAAATTTTTTAAAATATTATAAAAACATTGTATACACTAAGTCATTCCTCACTGAATGAAAGAAAAGTTTGGGTTTTAAAATAAATGTACTTTTTAAAATTCACACATCACAAACTATGGATTCTTGTTTGCTTTCTTTCCCTCACTGCCATATTAAATTAAAGCCTCTTCTGAATAATGTAAAGAAAACTAACAGATTGAATAACATAAAATGGCCAATGTTTAATCTTTTGTGCCAATAATGGGAATCTCATATGATTAAACCTAACAGAAAAAAATGGAGTCTATGACTTAAACGACCACAAATAGTATAAGTATGTAGATATACAATGATCAATTGTATGCAGAAATGACAGAAAAAGTTCAATTGTACCTTTTATTTCATAATCATACATTTGTAGGTTTTTTACATTATTTAAAAAAATTAAATATGAGCCTGATTATTTGATTAATAGTACCTAATATCACATATTCAATGGTATGGTAGGGTCTAATTAGAAAATTATTTGTATTTAAGCTATATTATCTCTATAGTTTATACATTGTATGTTACATGTGAACTGCCATTAATTAAGAAGCCATAACAAAGTCTTTCCACTTAGCAAAAAGTAAATATTTGTTTTCCTCTCAAAATTTTAGTGATTATTATAAATCTGAACAAAATATAGATAATCTAAAATACATATTTTATTTAGAAATCATTTCAGAAATTTTAATAGTACTACCTTGATATCATATTATGTATACATGTTTAAGTACATGTATTAAGTACATTAAATATATTTTGATATATATGCTAAATATATAATTGATCATATTTTTGTAATGCACATGAATCTGTAGTTGACTCGTTATAGCAGGAGTTGGGTCTGATCAATCTGTTTCATAAATGCATTTGATTTACTAGTGTTGGGAAAGCAATATTTTGATTATGTGGCAAATATATAAACATTCCAAATACAGAAAAATTCTTATTATAATATAGCTCATAAAATACTTAATATATTTCATTAACCACACCTTGGTGGTCCACCAGGTGATGATGTTCCCCAATGTTTTTAAACCAAAATTATGTGAAAAATAAGCTAAAAAGGAGAAAGTGGTTGAAGAGGTCTATAATACTGAGGTCAAAATGTCAAAACAACCAAATTTCGAGCATAAATACAATTTAAAATAGGAAAACTTCATAGAATATTCTAGGACTACAAACTGAAGATGGTCTATTGATTTAAAACTTATAATTTAACACAAACACATATACACAAACACATACAATCTAAGTGGTTGTAACTAAAATAAACTTTATTGTAAAAACATTATGAAATAATACCAATTTTTATTTTACTAATACATTTAGATACACAGGAGAAAAACAAAGTGTGAAAACCAGCAAATTGTCTGCCTTCATTTGAGAGAAATGCATGAAGAGATTTGCCAGGGAAAATGACTCTGTCAGAAATTAAGTACTGTGCCAATTTATGTCATACATTTATTACAATGGCAATGAGATAGTGACTATGGACAATTCAAGGTCAGGAAAATGGTAGCTATGGTTAGGTCAAGGTCAAGTCCAGACTTGAAGCCTCATCTCAACCTCTGGAAGTTCTGTAGTTAAGTTATCACTGAAGATATATCATTGAGGATCTTAGGGAGCTACGTGCTTACTAAATTAATGTTTTATGTATTTAATAAGCGTAAAGTCTTAGATGCTCGACTACTCAAATATTTGTGTCAGCCATATCCACTATTTTTATTATGTGGATTTTTCAGCAGCAGCATCAGTGGACCTCTCAAAATGGCTAAACTATTAACAAAGGATCTTTGACCACATTTTAGAAATAAAATAAAGTGTTATTGAAGGTACAGTTAAAAGTCAATAGCTTAATTCAAAGATAGATAACTATAGAATATAGCAAAAAAGGTCCAGGCAAAAGGATGAGTATAATATCTAATAATGGTTCATGGAGGAAGGTTGGAATGGTAGAAAAGAGAATCAATGTTGCATCAGAAAAAAAAAAAAGTGAAAGAAGGAAGGTCAGGCAAGAGAAATCAAAAGTATGAAAGCTAAGAAAAGGAGAGAAAAATAGCATAAATATTGAAAACATTCTATGAGATATAGCAACTGGTTTACATTTGCCATAATAGCTTCAGTGGAGTGGTGAGAACAAACTTCTTATTTTAATATTAAAGAGTAAAGGGTGTTGAGTGAATGAAGACAGTGATTATAGACCGTTGCTGGTATTCAAATTTAAGTAGTAGATTCATCTCACAAACTTCCTACTCTGGAGTGACTCACCAGTGACACAGAATGGTTCAGTGAGAGGGTCGAGGCTTTGTGAAGTATTGCAGCCCATTCATTGTTTCCTGAAACAATCTCTTCCCTTGTCCTCTTTGACAGCACAATCTCTTGGCCTTCCAATTTCCCCTACTTCTTTACTGTCTCTGCAGGCTCATTCTTCCTACGGTTAGAATCAAGACAGTTCTAGTCCCATTCCCTCTCATTTTATATGCTTTCTAGATAACTACATATATACACATGGTTCAATTATCTTGAATTATCATTTCTGGCACAATATATGGAATCAATAAACATGTGTTGAGTCAGTGAAAAAATTATTTATTCTAATATTTGTACTAATCAACTCTGTTGTCATTTAATGATGTTTAAGTACAAAGATTTTGAGAATATTTCGATTTTTTATGTATTTTAATCAAAATCGAATTTCTATTTAGGTTATTCTAATACCAACATGTGGGCTATTAAATCTTTATATATGGCATTTTTTTATTTTTCAGTGTGATTTTATATTAATTAATATTTTCAATTTGATCAGAAATTAAAATGGTTTCACATTTCTTATCTGAAGTTTATGTGTTTATTTTTTTATATGCCAGGAGGTTGTGAGAGCTTTGATAAAAACAACTTTGCCTACTTTGAATGTGTTTCTGGTCTGCCTTATGATCTGGCTGATTTTTAGTATCATGGGAGTACAGTTATTTGCTGGCAAGTTCTATGAATGCATTGACCCAACAAGTGGAGAAAGGTTTCCTATATCTGAAGTCATGAATCAAAGTCAATGTGAAAGCCTTTTGTTTAATGAATCCATGCCATGGGAGAATGCAAAACTGAACTTTGATAATGTTGGAAATGGTTTCCTTTCTTTGCTTCAAGTAGTAAGTACACATTTGACTTTTCTTTATCAATTCTTTGTCACTCAGTGATCCACTATCTAGCAGATGTGGAGAGATGGGCTATTCCTCATATCTCCCCCACAGAAAAGCACATTTATAACAGCTACAAGTAACCAAAACCATGGCATGTGTTTATTTACCATTCAGCTATTGATCTCCTTCCAGCTCTATTTATACTATCCTAAAATATTTTATTAACTACAGATAAACTAAATATTTAAAACAGTTGTCAACAGACAGTATAGTAATGAAAATACTAAAGATATCAATTATACAACATACTGAAGTGTGGCAAGCCTATTATCAAATGTTTTAGTGTATTAATATCATATTGAGTTTTTACTCTTTATTAACCATGAAGCTTAAATTTCCATAAGAATTAAATACATATTTTTTTACAGGCAACATTCAATGGGTGGATCACTATTATGAATTCAGCAGTTGATTCTGTTGAAGTAAGTATAATTTTAAAACCATTGTTAAGCTTCGAGCAAAGTTCTTTTTGCAATTCAAGCAATATCAGCAATAATTAATAGAAATTAAATTCATTTTATATTGAGTATCTAATGGGCAGTGAAATCCAGTGTTTTATACGATGATTGAGGTCCACTGGGCCCATTTTAAAGGATTACCGGACTTTGTAACAGTGATTAAATAAATGAAATAAACTTTAAAATTCAAATAAACAATGATAAGCAATGATATCCCTTTACTGAAAAGGAAAAAGAAACAATACCTCAGGAAGCATTGCTGGGTTTTCTTGTCATACATTGTTTTGTAAATCTTTATTTAAAAAGTCAATATCAATAATTTGCTTATTTTTTAAATTAAATTCTAGGTAAATATGCAGCCTAATTTTGAAATCAACATCTACATGTATTATTACTTTATCAACTTTATTATATTTGGATTATTTCTCCCTTTGAGTATGCTGATTGCTGTTATTATTGCTAATTTCAACAAATATAAAATAAAGATAAGTATATTCTTTATTTATTCATCGATATCCGAGAAAATAAAACATTTATAAAAATATACTGATTCAAATGATTGGTTTTAGATTCAGCTTAATGTTGATTTTATTTATTACATATCTAATAAAATGATTAATATTCCTGTACATTGATGGACATTGCTGAAATGTTCATCATCACTTGCTTTCTATATTCAAAATATACACCAACAAGTTTAAAAGTTAAAAGTTACACATGTTTCTGTACATATGTTGTCAAAATGATGTGCTGAAAAATAAATAATTAAGTAATATTGTGTGTTTTCACGAATATGTGAAGAACTCAAGAAAAAATACTCTTTTACACTTTGTTATATTCAAAGCCTTCAGAGCCATAATCAACATGGACATCTTTTTAAGTTAAAGTAACTCTTTCTGCTAGAAATAGAGAGAGTCATAAATCCTAATTAGATGGACTAAATAGGAGTGCTTGAATCTGATAAGAGAGAATTCAAAGGCAGATTTGAACAACCACTGTTTGGTGCCATATCTACACAAAGACTCCCCTTCAGGGCCTGCACCTTTTGAGAAGGTCTCAAAAGACATCTAAGTCCACCTACTTTAACCATAGATACCTACCCTCTATAAGGCATATAGGAAAGCCTTCAAAAAGAATAGTTTAATTTTGAATTTCCATCTTTAGCTATGTGCAGCCTGGTTCAGTAGTCCCCCTTTATCCACGGGGTGATACATTACAAGGCCCCCAGCGGTTGCCTGAAACAAGCGTGGATAGAGCTAACCCAATTGCTGTCAATAAGAACACATTTCCATTCATGTTAAGATGCCTTTTCTATCTTCTCTAAGCACTTATCATACACTGTGACTGTAACTTTTGCAGTTTGAGGTACAGCAAAACTAGGACAAATTTCTTTTTCCTTCTAACAATGTCATGGATAGAAGATTCATCTTTACCATATATTAGTATCTTAGCAACCTCAGCATATAATTTTTTTTCTTTCCTTACTAAGTTGAGAAATTTCACCTTTTTACTTTAGAAAAGCACTCTAAAGTGCTTTTCCTTACATATCCAAATTACCAGCATCACTGCTCTTGTGTTTGGGGTCATGATTAAGTAAAATAGGAGTTCCTTGAACACAAGTACTGGGATACCATGACATTGAATCTGATAACCAAGTTGACTACTAATGGGCAGAGAATGTAGACAGAGTGAAGATCTGTACAAAAGGAAGAATTCGCACCCTGAGCAGAACAGAGTGTTCATCATGCTATTCAAAATGGCATGCAACTTAAAACTTATGAATTATTTATTTCTAGAATTTTCTACTTAATACTTTTGGACCATAGTTGACCTTAGGTAACTGAAACTGTGGAAAGTGAAACTTCAGTGAATGGGGCACTACTGTAGACCACTCTGAGTCTCCACTAATCAGGTGGAAGTAGAGGGTTCACTGATCAAATATGATTTTCATTGGATACTTCAGCTTCCTAGGGACGTCAACCCAATGGGACAACATCTTAGGATTCTGGGCTTTAAATTGGTGATCTCTATCAAATTTAAGCAATCTGGTCCTGATTTAGGGCAGTAACAATCCCTAATTCCTAGATTAACATGACATTATTTATTTTACATATTTTGTATAAGATGATGAAATGAGCACTATAAACAGAAAAATAAACCCTAGAAGAGGCTATGAAAAAGTAAGCACAAAATACTTTTGGAATAATTGTGAAAAATATCTTCTGATAGTATTTGGAAAATAAATCAGTATATAATCATATAAAATATTTGACCTATTCTTTTTATTCTTGCTTATTTAAAGGCATAAATATACTTTACCTTTACTGAGTTCAACCTGTGTTAGTAAACCTTTAATAAAGCAGATGTCCCCTGCTGTTTCTCTTTTGTCCCTTTCTAACAAGAGATAGCCCCCAGTAGCATGAAAAGTGAAAATAGGGTTAGCTACCCACAGGAAAGTGTACCAATAGATTATCAAATATTGTCATTATCAGCGTGTATACTGTATGTGTTTTATATAGATTTTTGTACAGAAAGTCAGACATGTTCCAACATGATTTAATTCATCACAGTTAAGCCTTTGTAAAAGGATTAAATCAAAAATTAACAAGTTTTTAAAAACACATATTATATAAGGGAAAATTTATATTAAACGTGATTTTAATATCTTTTTCTTTCATTTATTTACCAGGGAGGCTCAAATATCTTTATAACAATAAAACAGAGGAAACAGTATCGTGGGCTGAAGAAACTGATGTATGAGGACTCTCAAAGACCAGTACCTCGCCCAGGAGTAAGAAAATGTCTAGATATTTCTGAAGCTTCAAAAAAAATTTTCTTTCTTTTATTTATATTAACATATTCTCTTTTAAAAAGAAAAATATGTTGTTAAAAGTTTTCATAGCTTGTAGTTCTGGCATATGCCTGTAGTCCCAGCTACGTAGGAGGCCGAGGCAGGAAGATACCTTGAGCTCAGGAACTTGAAGCCAGCCTGGGCAACATTGCAAGACCATGTCTCTCAAAAAAAAAGAAGAAGAGAAGAAGAAGAAGAAGGAGAAGGAGAAGGAGAAGGAGAAGGAGAAGGAGAAGGAGAAGAAGAAGAGAAGGAAGAAGAAGAAAAAAGAAGAAGAAAAATTAACAAATGCTTTTGACAAAATTTATAAAATATGTTTCTTGTAAAAGCTTTTAATTGTCATTTTTTTATTTTATTTTTTTTTACTATATGCTATTGGTAAAAATTTAAGCCCACTTATTGTCCTATTTATTCTGGGAGTGAAGGTTTAGAATCTAAAGACGGTGTATGTGTGTGTATGTGTATGTGGACATATACTATTAATAATACTATTACACCTGGGTTTTTTTTTACACACAGAACAAGTTACAAGGATTCATTTTTGACTTGGTAACAAATCCTGTCTTTAATGTCATCATCATGGTTCATATCTGTCTCCAAGCAATACTCCTTACAATACAAAGTGATGAACAGAGTCCACAAATGGAAACTGCTTTCTTCTGGATTGACTCAATTTTTGTTATGCTATATACTATAGAATGTATACTGAAACTCCTCTCTTTCCGTTGTTACTATTTCACCATTGGATGGAACATTTTTGATTTTATGGTGGTCATTTTCTCTATTACAGGTAAGATTTTGTTTACTGAAATTTCCACTTGTAATAATATTAATTCAGGTAAGCTCTTATAGTAAATATCTCTTGAGATATAATCTCCTAATAAGCAAAACAGTTAGGGATCCTTTTTATTCCCAAAAGGAATGCCTCACATTTTTGCATTCATACATGTACACATGCCTTACAGACATAAGATATTAAAAAATATTTCTTGAACTAATAGCATAGACTTCATATCATAAGCCACCAGGTAAATGCTTAGTTACTCCTTCAGTATATAACATACATTAGTTTTCCAGAATAAGAGTAGAAGGATCTTTATGTCTTAGAATGATGTAAGCTTTTAAGCTCACTACTATTTCCTTTCCTCTCTAAAACCATTTGCAAGTTTTATAACTGAAGTTTTAGGCTTTGATAAATTTGTCACTAGTTTTCTTTTACTTTGGGGTTCTCACTCTTTTGTTTAGGAAACACATTTGATATCCTCTTTGTGAACAGATATTGGGCTATATGAAAATAATTCAGTAGTAAACAAGATAGACATAATTCCTGTATTCACATAGTTTATGGTATATTAAAGAATATAGATAATTAAACAGTACGTTTTAATACTGTGCTTTTAAGGTTATGGCAGGGGAAGTACAGGATGCCACAGCAGTGTAACAGAAGGAAGGCACCTAATCAGTAAGTAGCAGTCAGAGAAAACTCTGTAGAAGAAGCAAAATCTAAATAGAGTAAGAGATAAATGGGTAAGAGATAGTCAAGCAAAGAATTTAGGATCAATAAGAATTTCAAGTAGAAAGAAGTTTATTGTCTGCTTGCCCATAACACATATACCAGATTGTAAGCTCCAAGAGAGTAGGGACAATATTGACACAATACATTATTGTGTCAAGCATTATTCTATGTATTCAGCAATGGGAAATATAGGTAAACTATTTTTCCAGTTGTGTTTCTAGAAAATTCACTCATTCAGCTGATAGTTGAAGCAATGCAACTAATTATTGAGGGGGAAATATAAGAATCTTGATAGAAATGTACATGAAGTCAGGAGGGGGGCTGATAGGAAGAAAATAGGATTTATGAAATTAAGAGCCCTATGAGATTGAAGTGGAAGTTGCTTACTCAGAGAGCTAGAAAGAAAAGAATTTGCAGTCAGAGAGGAAGCTGTTTTAATTTGAAGTTTCATAAGGTAAGGTAGTCTGGGTCCAGAATATGTGGTCACAGATAATGGGTCACAGATGTGGATGACTGAAGTAAAGCGATGGATTATGAAACTTCAGAAGGCCAAAGATTGAGAGGCTGGACTTTAACTGGATTGATGGTGGGCACTGAGGTGGAATGGGAGAGACTGGGCCAATTACCAAAATCTCTAGGGAAGACAAATGATGAATGAGTACATCACATAGCCAAGGAATGGTAGGAATGGTGTAGTTGAATGGCATGATCCACACGGTGTCAGAAATGTCTTTCATTTTTTTCTTTATGAAATCATGGGATGGAGAAGTATCCAGAAATCACCCTGGAAAGAAAGAAAGACGCTTATTTCACCTGTCTACTCCGAGGAACATGGAGTGGGGAAGAATGAGCTACCTGCACTTAAAAGGGTTGCAAGGAAAATAGTATCCTCAGGATAGAGTCAGGTGTTAGATAAGAAAGGAGGTTAAAAAAATGGTGATGAGGATGTAGAGAAATTTGTTTACAATTAAATGGTGATAACTCCTGCATAATGGAAGAGTTAGAAGATTGAAGAGAAATGAGCCTTTGGGTCAGACTAGAAGATTTATTAAAGCACTATGGAGAGAAGAGTATTGATAGGATAGAACATTGGAGAAATTGTCATCTTAGGCAGTGACCTAAGTTTAACAGAAACATTAGGCATAATCCTTCGAGATTCAACAAACATAATATCTCATTTAAAAGCCTCCCAGGACTCTCCTCTTCACCAACATCTCAACTCAAAATGAAACACACTTTCTTCAGTACTTCCACAGAATACTACTTATGCCTTTATGGAAATTATAATTTTATCTTTATAGTTCTTCCCTTATTCCCATACTTTCTTCATTCACCTACTACTGCTACAAAAAGTTCTAAGCAAAGATGCATTTATTCAATTTACATTTAAAGCACCTGGGGACCATATATTATTTATGAAATAGACAAATTAAATTCGAATCTATGAATCACTGAGTACCAGACGATTTTGTAATTATATTTTTCAGGTCTTTCTGCTTTGCATTATAATTGTTTCAAATGTCTACTATTGCTAGTTCCTAAATTATAAGGTCTTTGAAGACAAATTATATTATTCATCTCTGCATATTTGCATGATGTTTTTATTAGGCATTCAGTAAAGGTTACATTGATCTAAATTTTTTGGTCCAACAGCGATCAGAAAAAATTATGGCTAGTGTCCTGTACTATGGAATCAGGTCATCAGTGATTCCAGAAGTACTTGATCTATAATACTGCCAAGAGATGAAGAGAATTCTCTTCCAAATTTTGCTACATACCCTGAGCATTGACACAATTAGTATATGGCTATCCCAAACTTTCAATATATTAATTCTTAAACAGGAGGAATTAATAAAAGATTAACAAAATATATTTTAAAATTAAGTGAAATATAATATTATTCTAAAAGCAATTGTATTTGAATAATTTTATTAACTGCTTTATCTTTTCCCACCCCAAGGACTATTTCTGCCTATGACAGTAGGATACTACCTTGTGCCTCCTTCGCTTGTGCAACTAATACTTCTCTCACGGATCATTCACATCTTGCGCCTTGGAAAAGGACCAAAGGTGTTCCATAATCTGATGGTCCCCTTCATGCTGTCCCTCCCAGCACTGTTGAACATCAGTCTTCTCCTCTTCCTGGTCATGTTTGTCTATGCCATCTTTGGAATGTACAACTTTGCCTATGTTAAAAAGGAAGCTGGAATTAATGATGTGTCCAATTTTGAAACCTTTGGCAGCAGTATGCTTTGCCTTTTTCAAGTTACAATATTTGCTGGTTGGGATGGGATGCTCACCGCAATTTTCAACAGTGAATGGTCTGACTGTGATCCTGATAAAATTAACCCCGGGACTCAGGTTAGAGGAGATTGTGGTAACCCCGCTGTTGGGATTCTTTACTTTGTCAGTTACATCCTCATATCATGGCTGATCATTGTCAATATGTATATTATTGTTGTCATGGAGTTTTTAAATATTGCTTCTAAGAAAAAAGTCAAGACCTTGAGTGAAGATGATTTTAGGAAATTCTTTCAGGTATGGAAACGGTTTGATCCTGATAGGACCCAGTACATAGACTCTAGCAAGCTTTCAGACTTTGCAGCTTCTCTTGATCCTCCTCTTTCCATGGCAAAACCAAACAAGGGCCAGCTCATTGCTTTGGATCTTCCCATGGCTGTTGGAGACAGAATTCATTGCCTTGACATTTTACTTGCTTTTACAAAGAGAGTTATGGGTAATGATGTGAGGATGGAAAAAGTCCTTTCAGAGATAGAATCAGGGTTTATGTTAGCCAACCCTTTTAAGATCACATATGAGCCAATTACGACTACTCTGAAACGAAAACAAGAGGCAGTTTCAGCAACCATCATTCAGCGTGCTTATAAAAATTACCGCTTGAGGCGAAATGACCAAAATACATCAGATATTCATGTGATAGATGGTGACAGAGATGTTCAAGAGACTAAAGAAGGTGTCTACTTTGACAAAGCTAAGGAAAAGTCAATTATTCAAAGCCAGATCTAATTCCACTTACCACCTCTTTACCTTCTTCATATAGCTCAAAATGGTTAAAAGTGTAAATCAGAAATAAAAGCAAAGATCAGAGAAAGCAGAGATAATAATCAACTGTTTACAAGCCATGGAAGTGAAGCTGTATTCACAAGACTCCATGCCAAATTCACTTATTTGGCACTGTATGTTAAGTCTAACCAATCAGGAAAGACAACTCTTTAACATTGCTGCAGTGATTTAAGTGGGTTAAAGTTGCCATTGGACAATCCAATGTTTTTTTTCCTCTATATGGCTTATATGGATTGTACCTCTTCTAGAGGATAGGCGAAGGTGGTGATAGAGATTAGTGACAAAGGAGGCTTCCTTATGTATTTTATGGCTAAGTTTATGGGCTTCAAGTCTCACCACTATTAGGGCTTAGTTACAAATAAACAAATACTTTCTTAATATGGGATGGTGAAGTACTACAGGCCATTAAATCATAAACTTGCCTAGACAAATGCCAATTGGGGGAACTGGAGAGGGCAGTTCTTTAGAAAGTGCCTTTGAGATCAATCACAGAGATTGTTCAGCTGGTTAAAAACACATTGAAAAAGATTGGTTGAAGCTCTGTTTTCATTTTTCTTTGTTCTTGTTTCCTTTTATTTTGGGTTCTGGGAATTAATGTTGTTTCATTGTTCTTAGGCTCCTGGCTTCTCATCTCTTTGACTAGTTCCACCTAAGCTCTGGCTCTTGAACAGGATAAATTCATAAAATAAGAAGCATAAAGGAAACTGACAATTATGGTCTACATTTTCTTCTCATTTACACTTTTTTAAAAGTATGCATTACTAAAATGATGTACTAAATAATATGTTAATAGACTCAAGCTTTGCCTTATTATAAAAGTGATGTCTTTTTTACCATGTATCTCTAATGTAATGCTGAGTATGTAAGATCTGGCAATACATGGCATAATATGAACCAGAGTTGTAGAGAGCTACTGTTTTGTCTAGGAATTTGATTTTTGCAGTGTCTTTTATTTGAAAAACTGGGGCCACTTTAAAATACTTTTCACTGTACTTTATGCTTCTTTATAATCCAGAGAAAGAAAATGATCACTCAAACTGTAAGGACTATGAATTAGGAGATAAAAGTGTAAGTTTGTTTTTGTTTTACATTGGTGTATACAAGTTAGTTTTCACTTACACATTTATTATTCCAAGTTTTTTAAAATTTTTATCTCATCACATACATAATTACTCTGAAAAATTCTTTATGTTTAAAGAACTTTAAAATCTTGAACATTACTTTTAACTATTGAAATGATATTTAAAGATAGGCACAAATAGTTGTTTTTTGACTTATTCATTAAAGTGCATTTACATCCATGTAGTTTGAGATTCTAATATTTATTCCACCTGTATGAAGATTCATTTCAATGTGTCTACAAAGTCCTCAAAGATTCATAAAGGAAATCTGCATACTATTGACTTAAATGACACCCTTTAAATATGTTTTATGACATTCAATATCATTTACATTACACTAATTGTATTTTATTATGAATGCATGATCTTGAGCCTTAAATATTATAATCTTTTTCTGCTCCTCAGAAATGTAATAACCTTACCAAGATGCCTTTGGGGGATTCCCTAATTAAATGTAATATCAGGGGTCTTTTTTTTCTATAAATGTTCCTTCCCTTTCTCCTCCTGCTCTCCATCATGAGATGGGGACCAGTGAGGAATCAGTGTTAACTTGGTGACAATGTGGCAGCTGGTGCTTTATCTAAGCTTCTCAGTTTTCCATTTCTTGGGAATGCTTTAATGCAGAAACTGCTTCAAATACTTAAACTGAATCATAACTTGCTTATGTAAATTCCATTAAGACAACAAACTGATTTTAGTTTGAAAATTCTAGCTTTTACTTATGAATCGTGTTTGCCAGTTACCTTACAAAAGCTGTATAAAGAATTATTTTTAACAAAGTCTTACAATATATCTTACTTTTTAGGTACTATAGGAAATAATAAATACAGTCTGTTAACCACAAAAAGCTTTGTTTGTTTTCTTTTTTCAATTTGGTAAGTCAGGCTGACTACTTTGTATAGTAGAATTTTTTAAAGTAAGCTTTACATTAAAGCTTATTCATTCATGCTGAAAATTCAAAACTAGAAACACTTGTGCTTACATTATATCATTTAATTTTGTAGAATGAATGTTAATAAGTTTACCAGAGACCCCTATACATTGACAGAATGTACAAAGTACTCCTCTCAACAAAATTTAACTTTAATTTTACTAGATATATTTCATTATTGTTAGAATTTGCTTTATGAAAGATAATACTGAACTTAAATTTATTGGTACACTACTATTTATCAATGTCTGTTTCTCCAAAATTTTTTTTCTGTTTCACTAATAGATATAATACATTTGAAATTATTTTAAAGGTAATGGTAACAGCTACCACTTATTGAGCAGACTATCATGTCCAGCATTGTGCTAAGTATTTATCATGCATGCAATAGTAATCACTCTCAATTTATAGGTGAAAAAAAATTAGGCTTAAAAAGGTTTTAAAAGTCTTTTTTATGGCACAGAACTTATAAGAGACAAGGCCAGGATCCCAAACCAGAGCAGATTCCAGAGCTTTAATGCCTTAATATACTCTCTCTTATCTCTCTCTCTCTCTCTCTCTCTCTCTCTCTCTCTCTCTCTCTCTCTCTTTCTCTTCCACTTCCACCTCCCTGTATGGTGCAGAAAATTTGAAAAGTGAACACAAGCCCTTGAAAAAAGAGAAGGCACAAGAGATAAAGCTATAGAAGTATTTTTTTTCAACATTTATTGAATGCCAGGTACTATAGGTACACTCAGAGCCTATTCACACATAAAGATAAATCTGAGACCAAAGAGCTTACTAGTGAGGGTAAAAATAACAATGCAGCTAATTATAATATATGGTAATTTTTATACCATTGGTGTAAATTGTATATGTATATATACAGGAAGGAATAATGAGTTCTCTGTTAGATGTTAGAGGTGAAGAGAATAAAGTTGGACCCTGTAGGAAAAGGAGGATTTTATCAATTAGAGAAGTTAGCTCTATTCAACGCAGAGGCACTTTTAAGGAGAAGAGTCCATCATGAAGAATCCTGGGCCTATGGTTCCAGTTTAAAATTCTTCAGGCTGGAAGACAGAGAGAGATGGATTGAGGAGACGATAAACTTCCAATGCAGAGATTAGCTAGAAAATTTGAGCAGAATTATTCTGGATACCCTGAATCCCTTTCCAGATATGGTTTATTTTTCCCTTTGATTTTGAACTCTCTTTTCCCTTAACTGTTCCCTTCCAGGAACTCTGGGTCTGCACTCTCAGTTGTAACAGTCAGCAAAGAACTCCAGTGAATGATGGAGTCTTTACTGCACAGGCGGGGATTTTCACCATTATGTTGGGTGAATTAAAACTTTCAGGGTCAGATACTCACTCAGCTCTTCAGCTGTATGCAAACCTCTGTCTTCACTGACTTAAAAAATCACACACTGGCTCCAAGAATGTTTTTTTCTCAATTCCACTCCTGGGTTCCATTACCATCCAGGTGGCACAGCATCCTTATGTCCCTGGATTCTGGTCTAGGCTACTTATATAAATGTCTACACCTTCAAATAATCTGCAACTTGTGAGTCCCTATTCATATAAATTTTCATCACCATCTTCCCTTATTTTCTCCCTCCCTCCCATCATTTCATAAAAATCCATTGAACACCTCCTATGTATTAGGCAAAGCAATTTAGAGATGAGCAAGATTGCCCTTATCCTTAAAAGGCCCTGTGTGATGAGTAAAACTTCACACTGGAACTATGTTTACTCCATTCTTATGATGGAGACCTTCACTAGGGGCTAGTGGAGGAAAGTCCTACTGAACTTCACAGAAAACCTGGATCTTGAGCTAAGTTTTCTAGTAAATGGGATTTTGTTGGGGGGCATGATGAAGACAAGAAATGATATCCCAAGTTAAAGTAACAGCAAATATCCAAGTATGAAAAACAGAGTCCATAAACTCCAAGTCCCTCTTGTATGTTCATGCAAAAAGCATTCAGAAAAGGGCAATAAATGGTGGAGTTGGATTCTAGGGTGTGTTCATGTAAGGAAAAGAGAGATGACAACTCAAGATTGTTAAAAGTTGAGATGATCCCTAAAGAACACTTAAAGTGGGTTCTCTCACATACCAACAAAAACTCACCATATATATTGGATTGCCCGCATTCACTATTAACCATTCTTTTTTGGATATCATCATTGAGATATTCACATACCATAAAATTATTCTTGTTACATAAAATGATTCATGTACAATTGAATTTTTTAAGTATATTAACAGAGCTGTGCAACCATATCTTATATCTGAGTTTTCTGTTCTATTCCACTGGTGGGTAAATTTACAACTAATGGACACAGTGAGCATTGTAGGGAGGAAAGGGCATGTCAAATCATGGTTTGGGTAAGACAAAGTCATAACATGTAACCAAAATGTTTGTACCCCCATAATATCCTGAAATTTAAAAAATTAAAAAAAAATAAACTGAAAAAAATCAAGATGAGCCCAAAAGGCAACTAGAAATAATAAATGTAATTTGTAAAAAAAATAAAAAATAATAATAATAAAAAAAACTATCCGTTTACAACCAACTGATCTTTGACAAAGCAGACAACAATATACACCAGGGAAAAGAATCCGTATTCAGTAAATGGTGCTGGGAAAATCGAATAGCCACATACAAAAAAATAAAACAGGATCCATACCGCTCACCTCTCACAAAAATTAGTTCTATGTGTTTCTTAAATTTCCTTTAAGGCTTCATCTTTGACCCACAGATTATTTAAAAGTGTGCTGTTTAATTTCTACATGCTTAGAGTTTTTCCTGCTGTTTTAACATTATTAATATTAATTTATAGTTTAAATCCATTATGCCCAAGAACACACTGTATGATTTTAATTCTGTTAAATTTGTTGAGGTTTGTTTTATGGCCCAGGATACGATCTATCTTAATAATTGCTCCATGGGCACTTGGAGAAAATGTGTATTTTGTTATTGTTTGGTGGAGTGTTCTATATATGTCTGTTAGAGCCTGTTCATCAATTGTGTTGTTTAGATCGTCCATATCTTTGCTGATTGTCTGCCTGTGTTTCCGTCAGTTGCTGAGAGGAGCTGTTGAAATTCCCAGCTACAGCTATGGATTTTTCTATTTCTTCTTTCAGCATTATCAGACTTTGTTTCATGTATTTTGAAACTCTGTTGTTAAATACATACATATTTAAGATGTCATTTTTTCCTGATAGCTTGCGTTTATATCATTATTCAATGTCCCTCATTGTCTCTAGTAATTTTCTTTCCTCTAAAGTCTATTTTGTCAGATAATAAGAAGGCTGATGCTGTTTTTTTTTTTAAATTAACGTTTGCATGGTGTATCTTTTTTTGTCATTTTACTTTCAACCTATATATGTCATTGAATTTAAAATTAGTTTCTTGTAAGCAGCCTTGGATATATTTTTTAATCGACTTTTTCTTGATGTATTTAGATAATTTACATTTAAGTTAATTATTGATATATTAAAATACTTAAGATTACTATTTATTGTTTGTTTTATATTTGTTTGTTCTGATCTCATTCCTGTTTCTCTTTTTTTGCCTTCCTGTATGATACTGGCACATGTTTTAGGCTTTCATCTTGATTTAATTATAGTGACTTCGATTTGCATGTTTTGGGTAGTAGTTGTTCTGAATATTACTATATCTCTCTATCACTCCATTTATCTATGTCTACTGGTATCAACATTTTACCATTTTTTTTTGTTGTTGTTGAGACAGAGTCTCGCTTTGTTGCCCAGGCTAGAGTGAGTGCCATGGCGTCAGCCTAGCTCACAGCAACCTCAAACTCCTGGGCTCCAGTGATCCTTCTGCCTCAGCCTCCCGGGTAGCTGGGACTACAGGCATGCACCACCACGCCTGGCTAATTTTTTATATATATATTAGTTGGCCAATTAATTTCTTTCTATTTATAGTAGAGACGGGGTCTCACTCTTGCTCAGGCTGGTTTCGAACTCCTGACCTCGAGCAATCCGCCCGCCTCGGCCTCCTAGAGTGCTAGGATTACAGGCTTGAGCCACCGTGCCAGGCCTACATTTTACCATTTTGAGTGGAGTATGAAAACCTCACTCCCATTTGGGTTCATTTATCTTCCCCATTTTTAAAATATCATCATCATGGAACTCAGACAGTGCTATAATTTTTGTTCCAAACATTAAATATGGTTGTTAAAACTCATTATATGTGCTCATACTTTTTTTCTTTAAATTTCAGAATATTATGGGGGGCACAGATGTTTAAGTCACATATATTGCCTTTGCCTTCCCCCCAACCCAAGTCACAAGTGTGTCTATCTCCCAAACAGTGCACACTGCACCCATTAGGTGTGAAATTACCCATCCCCTTCTCCCCACTCCCATCTGCCTGACCCCCAATGAATGTTACTAGCCTTTGTGCACATAACTGTTGATCAATTACTACCATTTTGATGGCGAGTACATGTGGTGCTTGTTTATCCATTCTTGTGATACTTCGCTTACTAGAATGGGCTCCAGCTCCCTCCAGGATAATACAAGAAGTGATAGATCAGCATTGTTTTTTGTGGCTGAGTAGTACTCCATGGTACATACATACAATTTTTTATTAATCCACTCATGTATTGATGGACACTTGGGTTGTTTCCATATCTTTGCAATTGTGAATTGTGCTGCCATAAACATTCCAATGAAGATGTCTTTTTTATGTGCCTATATTTCTGCTCTTTGCATTGTTACTTCTTCCTCCCTGATGCTCTGTGATTCCTTCTTTTATCGATTCCTTTCTTTTTGAAGAACTTTTGTTTAGCTAATCTTTAAGAATTAGATCTGCTAGCAACACTTTGTATTAGGGTTTTTTCCTCTCTGAGAATGTTATAATTTCCCTTTCATTTCTAAAAGATAAACTCATTGGATATAGTTTGTGGTTGAAA